CTTTTGCTCTTGCTGCTTTGGCTGGTTTCTGCCACCATGAACGGTTGCCCTTGGCCATGTGCCACTGCCTTGGAGCCAGCCGAGTATGGACTGAAACCTCCACAAACTGTGAGCTGAATAAACCTTTCCTTCCTTAATTTGGGCATCAGGTATTTTCCCCAGCAACAAGAGAAAAGTAACCAAGACAGTGGCCCTCCATCTGCAGGTTTTTTTTTTTTTCCCTTTAACGGCTGAAATTGTGTTTGCATGCATGCTGTTTCCTGTTTCCCTGTTTATTCAGCGACCAGAGGCTCACTTATCTCACTCTTCTCCCCCGTTAGCCTATTGTTGCTTTTGATCAATTCTATGTTTCCTAAGTAATTAAAATTGATTTGTTTCCTTTTTCCTACTCTTCTTTCTGCTTTCCTCATATTTGCTTCATAATATTTTCTTTTTGTGTTGAACACATTTTTTTTCCTTCTTTCTGATTCATTTTCTAAATAATGAGAACATTTAGTACTCAGGTTGCCAATGAATCCAGCCCAGTCACATGTGTAGGGTTGTCGTTTTTTTGTTATTTCCTATGTGCTTGTGATTGAGGCTGCCATTTCCTTGCTGGCCCGGGGACAGTTAGGAGGGTGTGTCCCCCCTTTCCCATGCAGTCAGAAGTTGGATCTACTCTGGTTGAGCTAATTTCAACTTTTTATTGAATTGCACATTAGAAAATGGGGGAATCTATGATATCTACTTTGGAGAAATAGTGAACATTTTAGATGTTATTATAGATTATTTCTCCAAGTTTTCTATGGGTGCTATAAAAAAGAGATAACTTTTCAGAATACTGAGTTTAGTAGCAATAAAATCAAGGTTCTAAATTATGCTATTGGTGAAGTACATCTTTACTCGCTTTGACTGGTAAGAGCTGGCAAGGTGTGAGATGTGCATGAAAGTCTGGCCTCAGTACTTTATTTCTGCCTATTTCTCCCGTATTGTCATTTTTTGCTGATTCTATGTTGAGATTGTGCAATTCAGTAAAAGACATATAAATGAAGGTCTTGAATTTGATTTGCTCGGATGTAAATTACAAAATCGTCCTGAACCTGAGCTTGTAATTTCACCCTGAGTTGAGGTTTTTAGTGCTGCGTCTTGTAGATATTATGTCATAGATGGTTTTTCCCTGAGAGTCTTTTCCTTTTGCCAGTTGGACTTAGCCAACTGATATCTTTCTTATTCCTGTCATTTTTATGTTTAATTTTATGTTTCTTTATTGTTTATTTCTATATTCTTTTATTTTTTTAATACTTATAGGGTCTACATCCTTTTAAACACTATTCACATTTTTTCAAGAATTTATGTTACTTGAACTATAAACCTTAAGGATAAAACATAACTTTTTTGTTCCCTGCTCTGATGAAACAAAACACATAGTTTGCCTGGCATAGCTTTGGCCTCTCACAGATTTTTTTCTGGTGAATTTAAACCCCATTTCTCCTTTTCCCCAAATCAGCATTATTATCCATTCTGTGTAGTCCCAGTTGACAAGGACTGACCTCTGCATTTTCTTCTGAACCTGTACTGCGAGTGCCTGTACTGCATTTTGCTCTGTACCTGTAGACTGGAGCATCACATTGAGAGCAGGTGACCCCCAAGCCTGTCCTGCTGCCTCCTCCCTCACAGTTGGCTCCAGGCCCGGCACACGCTCTGATGGCATCCTGCTCGCCTCACCACAGGTGTTCCTGTGTTGTGTCCTCGACCCTCATTTCTTTGCTGAAAGCCAAAGCTGACTCATTTTTTTCCATTTTATAAAATATATTTTGCTCCCCCCAGACTCTTAGAACTCTTTCCCTTGAAGCTGCATGACTGTCCTGATTTCCTGGCACCTGGCAAGGCCTTTGCCCTGCTCTCAACCCTTGAGCCCTTGCCATTGCTGCTACCCTCGTACATGTGCTGCTGTGCAGAGACTTTGGGGAGAGCTTTTGGCACTGAGCAGCCCCACGGCCCTCAGCTCTCCCAGGTCAGGGACCTTGAGGATCAGGCTGCTGCCCCAGCATCCTCTGCCCCACCGCGTGCCGTGGGCGTCTCAGGGCTGGAGTTTGGAGACCTCCTCCAGACTTCAGCGTCCTTCACTAGCTTTCTGTGTCTGGAGCATTGCCCTCTATTTTTACATTTCTTAAGTAATTTCTGTGGGGTTGGAGGACTAACAAGAGGGAACAGTAGTGGTGAGGATGAAAATAGGTGCGATGTCCCAATCCATTCTTGTTTGCTGGACCTCGGTCCTGTCTGCGGACTCCTCCACGTGTCTCTCCCACCCAAGATCATTCTTCCGAGGTCTTCAGGGTTCCCACAGATCCGGGAGCTGCTCTCAGGGCCACGGGCAGTGGCGACCCAGGCGTAGTTCTGCCCTCGGAGTGTGCAGCTGGCTCGGAGGGAGCCAGGACATGGCCAGTAGAAGTGGAACAGCAAGCTCTGTAATGGAGGAGGTCCCTGTGGGGGCACAGGAGCCACAGCAGAAGCAGGCAGATGTAGCAGGGGCTGTCGGGGTGTCCAGCTGTCAGGAGAGAGGCTCACAGGGCCAGGGCAGCACCGTCTGTGGTTCCGTGGCAGACACTATTAGCAGTGAAACTTGTTTTGTGCGTAACCAATACATTGACAAGAACAAACGTTTCCGTGTGCCTCATTAATTCGACCCCCGTGTGCATGGTTGCACCCTTTTGGGGAGCCCTGTTCGGTGCAGCTCCGGCCAGGTGTCTACCAGTTCCCGTGTCAGCGCTGTTCTCTGAGCGTCTGTCACATCCACCTTGGTCCCAGGATTCGCTCTAATTTGCTCACTTGTCCATGCTCGAACAGATGCTGGCAGTATATTTCTATTTCATCTTCTTTTGGGCTTTCTTTCTGTACCGTCATTCCTACACTATTTTGAGAAGACAAATGTTTTTATGATTTTGTGAGTTTTTTCCAGCTTCTTATTTTCCGATTGTTCTGTGCACAATCACAACTGGAATTTCTGCCATGTTACAGGGATGGCATAGACAGCGTGACACAACCTGTCCCCATTTAGTCACTTGCGCTGCATGTGTTCGGGACAGACGTGCATGAGAGTTTTGGAAAATGCTGACCTTTTGAATTCAGTCTGTAGCTTTTCATTTTTAAAGGACAATTTGGCATTTAAAAATAAGTCAAAGATCAACAGTTTGAATGAATAATATTTCAAGCAAAACAAAATTCAAACAGTGGAAAAGGTGTACCAAGGAAATGTCTCCTCCCCACCTGTGTCCCGGAGACCAACTTCCCCACCCGGCGACCTCTGCTCCTGCTTCTGGGGCGTTGCTCACGGCCACTACTGGTCTGCGTCTGTCCCTGCTGCATGCTGGGCTGAGCTCTTGTGCCTTAGCTGTGTATCTTAGAAACCTGCGTATCTGTAGAACGCCAGTGGCCCTCCGGCGTGTATGTCAAGGCTTTGTCACTAGCCTGTGAGGCTTTGTCACCAGCACGGGGGACACTCGGGGAGTGGGGGTTGTGGTAGGAGGAAGTTAGGTGGCTGAGAGTATAAGCTTCAAGGGAGTCCGAAGGCCCCCGCCCTTCCTCTTTGCATCCTGGCTGCCAGGACTGAGCAGGCCTCCTCCACCATGGTCTCTGGCCATGATATACTTGGTCATCAGAGGCCCAACTCAACAGGGACAAACTTAGAGCCAAAATAAACCTGTCCTCCTTTTGATTCTCTTGGTTATTTGGTCACAGTGATACACGGTGACTGACACAGACCTGCCCTTTTTTTAGTGGCTGCGTAGTGTTCCTTAGGGCAAATATGACAAAAGTCACTTGGTCCTTTAGTTGGCTCATTCTTTTATGTCCTGCTATTTCTTTCTCAGAGAGTATTCTCTGTCTTTTCTTCTGACTAGTGGTAATAATTTTGTGAGTTTTTCTATAGCTGGTTAGTGTTTGAAGGCACAGTCCGCTGTATCTGCCTCAATAAATTCAAATTTCTAACCAGCACCCAGACGGGCTCGTTTTTCTGTTGCTGCTGTCTCGTGAGGAGGGTAGTGGCCTTGGTGTCATAGGACCCAGGCTGCATCCTGGTACAGCTCACCTGAGCCCATGGTCCTTTTCCTTTGAGCCTCAGAGTTCCCCTCTGAAATCAGAGACAGGAGCCTGGGGCTGTAGTGAGGGTGAGTGGTGGCAAGTTAAAGCATGCGTCACCTGCACAGACCAAGGACACCCTTTGGCCATGGAGTCCGGCTCTGAGACCTCTGCTCGATGCTCTGGAAATGCACTATGAGAGCCTGGCTTCATCACCTTCTCCTCCCACCCTATCACACTTGGCCCACGTGGGGTGGAGGCTCCCCACACTCCTGCACTGTCCTCTCCAGGCAGTGGTCAGCGTGGTCAGTTCTCCTCTGGAACTGGGTTTGAGCCTCTCCCTTCCTTGATGCCCTGCTGGTCTGTAGAGGTGAGGACAAGGTCACCTCCATGTTGCTGCTGAAGACCCAGCCTGGGGAGAGCCAGAATGTGGGGCCCTGCTGAGTGCGACCCACTCCCTACTATCCCAGAGCCCTACTGATCTCACACCCCCTGCAAAAGAATCTCCAAATCCAGACAGAAGGTGAAATAGCTACTAATGTAAGAAAAACAGTCAGCCATGAAACTGTAACCCAGACAACCCTGGACATTCACAACTTGTGGCCTGGAGGCCAACGGGATGAGACTGCACAGGATCTGCTTATGTGAACAGACCTTTCAGGACTCCAGGTTGTAAAGTGAATGTCAGTCTCACAGGCACCATGGCACAGTGATAAGGGTCAGCTGTGGGCATGGGGCTCAGAGCCCAAGCATAGAGAGAGCTAGAACCTGCATATCTCGTGTCAAATGCTTCACAGGAGATTTGTTGTTCTTCCCTACTTCTCATGGGAGCCAGGCAGCCCATCGCTGCCTAAAGCTCACCTGCAGGTCTCACTCTGCATCCTCCCCCTCTGCTGCCCTTCGGCCGTCACCTTTGCTCCCTGATCTTTTGCAGGTGCAGAAGGATGAGGGGGGAGAATGTCACCAAGGTCAGCACGTTCATCCTGCTGGGCTTCCCCACAGCCCCCAGGCTGCAGTATGTGCTCTTCCTCCTCTTCCTGCTCATCTACCTCTTTGTCCTGGTGGAGAACATGGCCATCATCCTCACTGTCTGGAGCAGCGCCTCCCTGCACAGGCCCATGTACTACTTTCTGGGCATCATGTCAACCTTAGAGATCTGGTACGTGTGTGACATCATACCCAAGATGCTGGGCGGCTTTCTCCTGCAGCACAAGAGCATCTCTTTCGTGGGGTGCATGACTCAGCTATACTTCTTCAGCTCCCTGGTGTGCACTGAGTGTGTGCTCCTGGCCTCCATGGCCTATGACCGCTACGTGGCCATCTGCCACCCACTGCGCTACCAGGTCATCATGACCACGGGGCTGTGCGTGCAGCTCGTGGTCTTCTCCTTTGCCAGCGGCTTCACCATCTCTGTGATCAAGGTCTACTTCATCTCCAGCGCCACATTCTGTGGCTCCAACGTCTTGAACCACTTCTTCTGTGACATTTCCCCCATCCTCAAGCTGGCCTGCACAGACTTCTCCACTGCAGAGCTGGTGGACTTCATCCTGGCCTTCCTCATCCTGGTGTTCCCGCTGCTGGCCACCATTCTGTCCTATGGACACATCAGCCTGGCCGTGCTTCACATCCCCTCGGCCACGGGCCGCTGGAGAGCCTTCTCCACCTGCGCCTCCCACCTCACTGTTGTCACCATCTTCTACACAGCTTTGCTTTTCATGTACGTCCGGCCCCAGGCCATTGATACTCGGAGCTCCAACAAGCTCATTTCTGTTTTGTACACTGTCCTCACACCCATCTTGAACCCCTTGATCTACTGCTTGAGGAATAAAGAATTTAAGGATGCCTTGAGAAAGGCTTTGGGCTTGGGTCAAGCTCCACAGTAGGTGCACATACCTCCTGCTCTTGGATCACCATTTGAGACTGTGCAGCCTCTCTGGTGAGACTGTTTTATTTCCCCTGTGAAATTCTTTGGATTGTTGTAATGTTGCATTTATTTCAAAAATTACTTCCACATTTTTTTTCTGCTTCAGCTCATGGAGGTTAATATCAGAGATATGATTGGTGTTGTGATTCCATGATTTTCTTTATTTTATATTCCAGCAAAGCAGGACTTGATAAAGTTTAACAAAACTTCTTCACCTTTTAAATTACCATGGACATTTAGAAGACAGCAAAATGTGCCAGGTCATGTGGTTTGTTATAGTCCTCGATACATTTCACTGCCTTTAAGTGCTGGAATATTGTTATGGTTTGTGTCTGTGTGTCCACCCAAAGCCTCATGTGGTCATAGGGCAGGCTTTTAGAGTTTGATTGATTATGGGTGTGAGAGCTGCACCCGCCCTGGGGTGGATAGTTTGCATATGTAAGGGAGAGCAAGAGGCTGCTTGTGGCTATTTCCTGGCTTTTGTCTTTTGTTGCTTTTGCTGTGTTCGGATGCGATGAGCCATAGCTCTCTGCCATGTGCCACTCTGCCTTGTAATCTGCCAAGTATGGACTGAAACCTCCACAAACTGTAAGCAAAATAAACCTTTCCTTCCTTAATTTTGGGCATCAGGTATTTTGTCCTAGCAATGAGAGAAAAGTAATCAAGACAAATATTGATCCATGTGGCAAAAAAAGTTTCAAGAGTGCCCAAAGCAAAATGTGTCTGGAAACTGTAAGAGCACATAAACTTCTGTTTCAAATAGATAAGACACGCTTCCCTGGCAGTTCTTAGGGATGCCAACATCTGCCTTTTCCCTCTCCCACAGCTGGTCAGTTTCTGAGAAAGTAAGTGTTTTTTTACTGTTTAAGTGGATCTTGGCTGGCGTCTAATGCATGCAGATGCCCAGGCAGGTAGGGCCCCATGTCCTTCTGTTCAATGCTGCACCTTTGAAGCCAGCACAGTGCCTGGTGCCCCACAACCAACTGGAAGGAAAAAGGCTAAGTATGACAGCTGGTGGTACACAGAAAAGAATTAGGCACAGGAGCACAAATCTCTTGCTGGGGCAAGAGGAGAGAAAGAATCCTACCCAGCAGGGTCACCTGGATAGAGTGACTTTTATACATTAAAACAGGAAAAATAATCATTCACGTAAAAGCAACTCCAGCAGTAACAGAGCCCCAAGGCAGGAAGCTGCACAAAACAGTGACAACTCCAGAGATGCTGGCATGGTTGAAGCTGATGTGCACAGAGGGGTGAGTGCCCGTGGCAGCCAGAGGGCAGGACCCTGAGCCAGAATGGCAGACAGGATCACAGCCCTGCATGTTCACAGGTCCGGCAGACAGCATGACTTTGTCCAGCAGTTAACAGAAAGGGCAAGGCATGTTAGGAGCCCTGCCTTAGACAACCCATCTGGCGGCTGTGTGCGAGATGGGTAGAGGGCATGATGGGAGATGGGAGGACCAGGAGGAGGATGTTCAGTTGTCCAGGTGACGGAGGAGTTGTCCAGGTTTCTGAACTGAGCAATAGGCACGGGAGTGGAATGGAGTGGCCAGGGCTCAGCCAAGAACTATTAGGGTGTTCAAGTAAGCATTTGGGGTACGGGGAGAGAAGGAAAGAGCTGAGGAGTGCTGCCAGACCTACAGCTGGGGAGCAGATTGATGGCAGAGGTATTCTGGGATGTGGGAAGGAGTGACTGCCCACCGAAGAGAGCCATTGAGTTTGGCTTGGGTCATGCTGAAGGGAGACCCTCTGGGAGTCTGAACAGGTTGAGTCTGGTTTGACAGTAGGCAGGGGCATAGTCCTGGTGAGATGGGAAGGCAGGCAGTTCAGGTCACGAAGAGTTAGAATGAGGCCAGGGAGAAGTGGTGTTTCTTTGGGGATTGTGATTTAAGGGACTGGTCTGACTTTCGGGATCAGGAACTGAATGCCAGCCTGAGGATCACTATGAGGAAGAAAGAAGAGCAGGCTCAGTTCTGTTAAAAGAAAATCTTTGACAAAGGAGTATTAGCAGGACTTAGCCACACAGACAAATTTATGGTCAGAAAATGGAAGTGAAGTAGAGAACAAGGACGTGAGGTGGAGCAAACGGAAGTGAGCTACGGAAGAGACAGCTCAGCTGATTACTGCTGTTTGCCTTCTTTAAATATAGTGGATCAGCTGGTTGCTTGCAATTGCTGAATCTCAGCTGCTGTGATTGGCTTAGGTTGAGCTATTTGTAATAAAAATGTACTTCTAGCTTAGGGTTTCAGTCAGTTCATAATTAAGTTAGGTTGCAACTCTTTATATAAAGACCTTAGTATTTCAGCATCCTCAGCCAAATTTAGTTTTCTTTGACACTCCTCTACACCCAAGTTGGTTAGCTGTTAATTTTGGGAGACTGGCCAAAACCTTGGGCACAACGCCATCCACTGTGGTCATCATAAATGGTCTTATTTGGTCTTGGTGCACAATTCACAAGTCAAAATTTACAGTCAGTTTCATAGCTGTATTCTTGCTGGTCTAGTCAAAACATGTAATACAGGATAGGTGGCTGCATGCAGACATTTGGGACTTTGGAGAACACAGCTTCAGGAGTACTATTACCATGACAACCAGGAGGAAAATGTCAGGAGACTGGAGTGTATTCCTTCTGTGAAAGGGGGAATAGCCCACAGCCAAATCAGGTCTCATCAAGTATGTTAAAGTGCAGGCAATATAGGCAGTTCCGGGGTGTTTGAGTCTGTCTGGTCAGAGTCTTTGTTCAGAGTGTGATGGTGATGAAGGTCTATGGCTCCCTGCAAAATGATCTTAATTAAAGACATATCCCTTTCTGTTGTTAGCCTGGCAGCAAAAGTCACAGTGACCTGGAGACCCCTCGAGAAGCATTTGGATTAGAAAACTTTGGAAAGCCCAAGTTTTCCACCCACACTTAGGATGGCTATGAACTATTAGTTGCTCCTGTTAACACATTAGATTCCTTTCTCTTGAGAAATTTCCTCAATGTATTTGGTATCAATGTCTAAAGAAGCAGTGGTGTCAGTTGCCTTTTAAATTTATCTCTTGATCAGGAGAGATAGGCACAGCATACAGTTTGTTCAGTGCCAAACACAAGACCCTGCATGAGCAGGAAGGTGCTCTCAAGCTGCAGGACTGAGTGTTTCTGTTGAACATGTACATCACCCATCTTTCAGAGAGTGGCTGCTCCCTGCCTGAGTCCCTGGGAGGTCTGGTTGGCTAAAAAATCAAAAATCCCCCCCCCAATTTATGGGTTAGTTTCAAATTCCATACTGTAGATAACCTCACTACTTCCAAAAGTAAGCCCTCAAGAATCTTCCTGGATTTTTTCTCATTGGAAACTATCTTATCTTTTCTATTTCAAAGTTAATTTTAATTTAAGTTTCTGAGCATATAGGACTCTGGTCATGTACACTATTTCAAAGACTTTGAGACGAAGCTAGTCAAAAATGCAGCAGTGAGCCAGGCCAAATAACTGTATCTGACATAGAGAAGAGGAAGAACAGGATGGGAAAATTCTCTGCAGACCCAGTACAAGCCCCTGAGGGTTGGAACAGAAGGCCGCTTCAAGCTGTTTGAGAAGATATCTGTTAAATTCATTCACCCATAATTCTGCATAAGTCCTATGCAAGGTCCAACTAAGAAATTACTTTATGTGAGCTCTAAGCATGCTATAAGGGTGCAGAACTACTTTTAGTGAAAAAGGATCCTGCTAGATTTAATCTGGTGATGTTATACAAGTAATTATCTGTCCCTACATAGTCCTGAGGGCTTCAGTGTACAATACCTGCAAGCCAAATACACCTCTTGTTGGCTTATGTATTTGGTAATGATTAAAGTATTAACTGGACTTTTGAGAGTGTTGATTCTATGAGTTTAGAAAAGTATCAGCAATGCCTATCACATCAGGAACAGCTTTCCACTCTTTCTTGAGTTTTCAGGGTGACTCTCATTGACAACTTTGAGGTACACTGACCTCAGTGGAGCTTCCTGACATTTTGGTATCAGCTACAGTAGCTTCCTAAGTAAAGCTGTCCACTGATATGGTCCCATGAATTTTCCTGTAGGGAAAATAAAAGGATCAGGACAGGAGGAATTGGGGAAAAAGAATAAGGCTTTTGGGATGACAGAGAGGTCTCAATCTCTGATCTTCTGAAAACCGGGATGCCATTTGCTTCTGTCAAGAAGCTTCCTCTTTTAGTCATTTCTCATCACTGAGAAAAAATACTCAACATCCACAAAGTAGAGGAAAAGTGCTTTATTTTGGGTCACAGTTACAGTCCCTAGTCAGATACTCTGAAGCAGAAAGGGCATGGTGGGAGGGGTGGGGCAGAGGACAGTTGCTCACATCATGGTGGTCAGGAAGCAGAGAAGGAAGGGAGGTGCAGGGCAGGAGGGTGTGCCCTCCCGGGTCACGGCCCCTGTGAACCACCACCACCAGACTTCTCCTGACAGCACGTCGAGCCCTGAACTCATCTGCGAATTAATCCACTGGCGAGTAAAGTGCCACCAAGATGCAGTTGCCTTCCAAAAGATCAGCTGCTGATCACATGAAGCCTCTGGGACATTCTAGATCTGAACTACCACATTCCATCCCCAGCCTCCAAAAGACTTCCGACCATCTCTTTATGAAAAGTGCATTCAACCCATCTCTAAGAATCGCCAAAATTTTAACAGTTCCCACTTTGCTGAAAAGTCCATCTAAAGCCTTTTTTTTAGCTCAAGGCAAACTCTTAGCTGTGAGAACCTGTAAAAATCAAAAGAAAGTTAAATGCCACTGACATTCACTAGCACAGGGTAAACATCCCCCTTCCAAAAGGGAGGAACAGGAAAATAGAAAGAAATTGGACCAAAGCAAGAGCAAAACCCTGCAGGTCAAATTATTAGGTCCTACAGCTTTATGTCCAGCACTTGAACCCCAGGTGGCTTGAGCAGTTGCACCTCTATGGCATTTCGGTTGCGTGGCCTCCCTCCTGAAGAGGATGGTTCTCATGGCCTCCTGAAGAGGATGGTTCTCATGGCCTCCCTCCTGAAGAGGATGATCTGCTCACTGCCTGCAGCCCTCCTCAGCAGACATTTCATGTTCCTGACACCTTCAATTTCCTGGGGTCCCACTGTAATTTTGGTTTCACTCTCATAGCTTCATTCACTGCCCCTTTAGGGGCACACTGCGTGGCTTTCTATACCTTCATATGAAATCTTGGTGGAAGCCTCCTAACCCCCACAACTCTTGCAGTCTGCATGCCATTAAAGCCAGCACCACATGGATGATGCCAAGGTCTACTGGCCACTTGAGCAGTAATCAGGGCCCCTTGGATCCTGGGTACAGAAGCCTTGAAGTGCCTGATGACTAAACACTGTAAACCAAATTCCAGGGAACCAATTACCCAGGTTGCTCTTTGTCTGCAGGACATCCTAGGGTTCTCATCTCAAAGCAAAGTCTTTTCGTTTTGTGCTCTCAAACCTGTGAAGGTCAGTGTCTTGCTGATTCCTGAGATGCCCTCTAACCATCTCTCCTATTATCCTGATATAAAGTACCTGGCTTATTTTTAGTATAGGTGGCTGAAATTTCCTGAATTTGGTTGGAATTGAATAGAATTTCCATAGCACAAGGAACTTGCAAACAAAGTTCATACTCTAAAATCAACTCAGGTGAAGCCTTTATTAATTTGGCTTTTGCTGCTATCTTTTTTAAACAGTTAGGACAAGCCTGGGCAACTGGGTTTAATTGCAAAATACAGTATGTGATGGGCCCACTTTTGTCGCCATGTTCTTGGGTGAGAATTCAGCGTTACATTCATAAACAAACAAGGTGAAAGGTTTTGTGTAATTTAGTAAGCCCCGTAGCTGATTATCTCAAGGCCACTCATTTGGCTAAAAGCCTGCCTATGGCTGTTTACCCAAGGTAAGGGTGCTGGACCTGCACCTCTAGTGAGCTTGCACAGTGATAAAGCCCTTAAAGAAAAACTCAGAAACCAGCATTTGAAGCCCAAGAAAGCATCTTTGTTGTCTTTTGATTGCAGACCAACAAAGGCTTTGAGGAGCTTTTAGTCTCTCAGGTGATAAGGAAATCCCTCAGCAGTCCTTCCACATCCCAAATGTGGACTTAAAAACTGTTTTCCTATCAAAGCTATGTGACCCATACATATGATTTGGTGTAAAAGGTAAACGGCCGATTTCAGGGGACTGCTTGGTGAGAGGACATAACAACTGGTTAACTACATACAGATGAGAACAGAATTTTCAAGAAATTATTGGGCTCCTGGATGGAATTAGATTGGAGAGAACAAGGGATTGAGGTCACTAAGTGGAAACTTTGGCAGATGGTGGCCGGCCTTGTGGTCCGGCAAGTCCTTCCCTCTGAATGCCAGGCTGGGAAGGTCTGAGCAGGGCCAAGCTTGCCCTCCGGGGCTCAGAACGGCCCCAGGTGCTCTGACCTTGACCCCCACCTCCAGCCCACTCTGCAAGGAGGCCCAGTTTCCTCCAGGTACTGGCCTGGTTCTCAGCACTGGCTTCAGTGACCCCGGCTGAGTTCAGGGCCGAAGGGTGACCCAGGAACAGAGGGTCTTCCCATGGGGCACGTGGAAGTCACTGTAGAGTGGCCGTGAAGCACCAAGCAGGACACACGCATCAGCTCTGCTGGCTGCTGGGTACTTCTGCCAGGGGGCAGCGGCCCTAGAGGCACAGGCCAGCTAATTGGCAGCATGGGCAGCTTCCTTAGTAGCAGAGGGGTAATTGGGCCCATGAGTCCCTTTGCTCCAGCGGAAAAAGCCACAACTTTTCCTCCCTTCCTCCCCAGCACCTGGGGGAGCCCACTTCTCAAGAGCCTGTTCAGCCTCACCTGGTCACTGTGGCCTGCCTGGGAGTTGCTGGACACCAGTGAGGGCTGTTCCTCCCTCCTGCGGCCTGCAGCAGCCCTCAGAAGGGAGGCTCCCAGCTGCACCCAGGTAGGGGCCCACTCCTTCCATGCACCAGTGATGGGTTCATTTTGCCGTGATTTTAGAGTCTGTGTCTACTTGGCACCATGCAGAGCTGTATGTGTGGAGCTGTTTGACACCCACTAACACGCTTTCCACAGCTGGTGTGGGGAAGGGATTCACCTGTTGGTCTCACTGTCAGCCCCCAATATGATGGGTTGGGGTGCGCTCTAAATGGCCCTCACATTTGTAAGTACTGTGCTGAGATGCATCTCCATAAATGAAAGAATGCGTGAATGGGTACTGTGCTGAGTACTTAATTATGGGTACTGTGCTGAGTGTGCTTACTGTACTGAATGGGTATGTCTGGGAGCTGTGCTGAGTGTGCTTCTGGAATTGTCTTGAATACGCGTCCATGGGTGCTGTGCCTAGTGCATATGTATGGGGACTGTGCTGTGTTCTCGTGTCTGGTCTCAGTGTAGCCTCAGCCAGCACCCTCTCTGCACTGAGCTCCTGTCATAGTGAGGCTTCAGTTCCTGTGGTTCACCCAGGTAGGAAGCAGGCATCAGCGCAAACAGCTGCAGGCTGATGCTGGGCTGGAGACCCAGGAGAGGGATGCGGGCCCTCCCACAGACCCCACCAGCAACCCTCTGGGGCTGCTTAGGGCCTGAGTTTGAATTCCAGGGGAGACAAAGATGTTTCATCTGTGCAAACCGGGTCAATGAGGAGAGGAGCCTGGGCATTCCCATTACAACCCGTCTGGCCTTTTGGTCTCTGTCTAGGACCCAGGGGTGTGCAACCCCGTAGGAAGACCACTGTCCTCAGCAGCATCGGACACTGGGGCAGGGACGGCAATGAGGACAGGAGGTGAGGTCACCCGAGTAGCTCAGAGCACAGAGCCGCTGCCCACCCCTGCTTTTGGCAGACTGCCCTGGTTACGTGGGGTTAGCCTCAGCGGGGCTGGACAAAGGGTCCCCGAGAGCTCTCCATACTCGCTGCTTCTCTGTAAGTCTGAAATTATTCCAAAATAAAGAGATTATTTGGAAGGGCACACAGCCATTGCCTTAAGTGCAGTTGATGGAGAGAATAGGACCTAAAAGGTTCTGAATTTGTAAATAAATGCACTTTTTCATTTAACGGGTCAGTACGAAGTAGCCAACTCAAATGGTCAGTTACTGCTGTCTAAATAGCCCAGTTTATGGGGCTGCATGGTCCTGGGAAGGGAGCGTGACACCCAGAGCCCCAGGCAAACCCAGCCAACAACCGGGCGCCACTGGCCCTGCAAGGGGCCCCAGAGCCCCCAGGCCCCTAGAGTGGACTTTAAGCCACAGCCTGGGTGCATCCAACACAGCGCTGTGTGAGGGGCCCCATGCCAAGCCCTGGCAGGCTGCCTCTCCACCGCAGTCAGAGTGGGTCCTGGGTGTTTGCAGGACGCCGGCATGCTTGGCTTCCTCTGCTGCCTGCGGAAATGGCCCGCAGCTGCCTGACAGGCCCTGGGCACTGATCCCTCTGAAGTCTTAGCCTTGGCGCCCCCACCCCACCTGCGAGCTGGTAGTAGATGTCAGCTCTGCTCCCAGCTGCCACACCTGTTGAAAAGATGCTCCAGGAGCACCCTGGTCCCTTTGCCCCAGCTAGCTTGGTCTCCCAAGAGCGGTCTCTGCTCTTCTCTGGCTGTGTAGTTTGAGGTTCTGCCCTGTGCGGAACTCTGCCCTCATCTGCAAGAACCTTGCTGGCCTGTGGCAGGCACTCAGGTGGCCTCCCTCTGTGCCCCTTGGATCTCAGATTCCACTCCCAGTGGCCTTGGACATGCATGTTCCTGCACCAGAGCCCTGGACTCCACCAGCCCTGGAGCACCCCGTGTTCCTCCACCAGCGTTGCCTGGACCCCGTCCTCTGTCTATTATTTCTTCTTGTTGGTCTGTCTGCCTGCCTGTTCCACAGGTAGTGTGTAAAGTCACTGAAGTGTTAGTCAGGACGCTCAAGCCCCCCAATTAGTCTTGTGCTTGTTCTCACTTCTGCTTCAGTACCAGGACCCTGGCGGGGTTGTGCTGGTCCTTGCCCACCCACCTGCCACCTGGAAGGCCAAGACCAGCAGTCAGGTAGGGAAAGGTCCGCTCTAGCGGCCCAGGCCCCCAGCTGTGCCTGGCCCCACTGGCGCTGCAGCTCCAGCCTGACCTGTCCTCACCTGATACAGTGTTTCTGGACAAGCCCATCCCAAGGCTTCCTTCTCTGAATCTGCATGGGCAGCCCTGCCTTCCGTGGGTGTCCCTGCACAACTGCAGCTGTGGCCCTCAAGGGGCATGCTCTTTACCTGATGTGACATCAGCTCTCCCTATAGCACTTCTCCAGCTCCTGCCCAGGCCTTCTCGGGCCTCAGCTTCCCCATGCTTGATTTGAGCTGGCTTCCCAGCTGCCACTCTCCGCTCTCTTTAGGCAGAAAAGGCAGTGACGTCACCTTGAGTTGTGAGCGTGTGTGTGCATGTGTGTGCATGCACATGTGGGGGCAGAGGCAGCAGCTGATCACACAGACCAGAGCACCCTTTCGCAGCAGCTTCTTAGGCCCTCGGAGCTCACCCCCTACCCCAGGAAGTGGGGTGCATAGTCCCCATTTATACTGGCTTGCCTTCTTCACGGAGATCCTCCCATGAGCCGACACCACAGCAGACATCAAATGCCAGCCTTGCATTTTAAGTTTCAAGGAGAAAAATGAAATTAAATGAGCATTGCTGTGATTCTAATGGTTGAATTGGTAGGGGAAGTGGATGTGGTGGCCGCCGGGAACCCATGGCATGCCTTGCTTGGAAAATAAAGCCCATACCCCACCAAAGGGCAAAGAAACTGATCCTGGCCCCACCTGCTGCCCCCGCTGACCATGCAGACAGCCTCTCTGTGATGTCCTGGACACTCCTCCCTCAGCAGACCTTCTCTTCCTGTTGCTGCTTCGTTGTTACATCCAAACCACACATGCAGAGCCTTCCTACTTTAAGACCTGGTGGGTGAGAGAACTGTTACTCTCCCCTACTGCTCCCAGGAGCCTGTGGGCCCATCGCTGCCTAAAGCTCACCTGCAGGTCTCACTCTGCATCCTCACTCTCTGCTGCCCTTCAGCCGTCACCTTTGCTCCCTGATCTTTTGCAGGTGCAGAAGGATGAGGGGGGAGAATGTCACCAAGGTCAGCACGTTCATCCTGCTGGGCTTCCCCACAGCCCCCAGGCTGCAGTATGCGCTCTTCCTCCTCTTCCTGCTCACCTACCTATTTGTCCTGGTGGAGAACATGGCCATCATCCTCACTGTCTGGAGCAGCGCCTCCCTGCACAGGCCCATGTACTACTTTCTGGGCACGCTATCTTTTCTAGAGATCTGGTACGTGTCTGATATCATCCCTAAGATGCTGGGTGGCTTCCTCCTGCAGCACAAGAGCATCTCTTTCGTGGGGTGCATGACTCAGCTATACTTCTTCAGCTCCCTGGTGTGCACTGAGTGTGTGCTCCTGGCCTCCATGGCCTATGACCGCTACGTGGCCATCTGCCACCCACTGCGCTACCAGGTCATCATGACCACGGGGCTGTGCGTGCAGCTCGTGGTCTTCTCCTTTGCCAGCGGCTTCACCATCTCTGTGATCAAGGTCTACTTCATCTCCAGCGCCACGTTCTGTGGCTCCAACGTCTTGAACCACTTCTTCTGTGACATTTCCCCCATCCTCAAGCTGGCCTGCACAGACTTCTCCACTGCAGAGCTGGTGGACTTCATCCTGGCCTTCCTCATCCTGGTGTTCCCGCTGCTGGCCACCATTCTGTCCTATGGACACATCAGCCTGGCCGTGCTTCACATCCCCTCGGCCACGGGCCGCTGGAGAGCCTTCTCCACCTGCGCCTCCCACCTCACTGTTGTCACCATGTTCTACATGGCCATGATCTTCATGTACGTCCGGCCCCAGGCCATCGATACTCGGAGCTCCAACAAGCTCATTTCTGCTGTGTACACTGTCCTCACACCCATAATAAACCCTTTGATCTACTGCCTGAGGAATAAAGAATTTAAGGATGCCTTGAGAAAGGCTTTGGGCTTGGGTCGAGCTCTGCGGTAGGAAAGTTAAGCATCCTAGAACCTAATTTGTGCTGATACAACATCAGCTATAGACACTGATGCTCTTTAAATTTAAATGAGATTTGACATGCCTACAGAACTATCCACAACAAAACCCTTCATCAGGATGTTTTCAGGAAAGGACCACACTCACGGAACCAGCTCCCAGATGGATCGGGAATTGAGGGCTTCTCTCCTCCTTCTCCTGGTCAGCTCCAGAGAAACACTCTCCTTACCAAGATGTGGTTGCCTTACCAGATCATAGTCTTGAGGGGCCGTCTTGAGGGCTTTGTGAATGTAATCATGAAGAATTTACACTTTATGCTCAGCTTCATTGGTTCAACATGATGTGTACGTGAATCCTTGCTGTTTCTGCATGTAGCAATAATTCATGCTTTCTCCCTGCTGCATAATGTGCATATATATGAACATCTATTACATACTTCATTACTGATAGACAGTATTACAGACACTGTCTATTGTGGATAATGCTGCTGGCAGTGGTATAGATAGTGTCTTTTGATTGGTGTGTGTACAGCTTTGGAAGCTACACAAAACTACCTTGGCTAGACATAAGTGTATAGACTATGTCTATACTTGCTACAATGTGAGGTAGGTGTACAGTGAGGGTCAGTAGAAGCTGCAAAACTGTTATCCTAAGCAATGTACCACTTCACCAGTGCAGGAGAATCCAGTAGTTCCACAACATTATCAACACTGAGTATTGTAAATATGGTTCAGTTTAGCCACTGGTCCAGGGTTGTGGTGGTATCTCCCGACTTTAATTTGGTTTCCCCCAGTAACAAGTGATGCTGAGCACCTTTTTCACATTTGGTGGCCTGTTGTCCCTTCTATGTCCCCATTCTGAAGTGCCTGTTTACGTCTTCTTTTCACACAGACTCTCTTCACATGTAGGGTTTCTTACTCTGGATTCAAGCCCTCTGCTGGCTTTACCTATGCAAAACCCTTGTTCCATAGGTAGGCTTGCTTTTCATTCTCTTAATGGTGTCTTTTGTGTGCGTGTCAGTGTGTGCATAGCTCTAAGCAATATATCACATGTGGAGGAAGCTTTGTGTCTACTGTCATAATCAAGATGAGAGCACTTCCATCACCAGGCACCCTCATGTTATTGCTGTGTAGTTACATTCTCTCTTTTCTAGCCTCTAGCAGCCACTAACTTGTTCTCCATTCTCTATAATATTGCTATTTCAAGGATATTAAATACACAAAAACATGTTGTATTAACCTTTTGAGACTGACTTATTTTCCCACTCCACATAATTCTCTCCAAATCCATCTGAGGTGTTACCTGTGTCAAGAGTCTGCTCTTCTTTACTGCTGAGTAGTAATCCGTAGTGTGTCTGTGGCTTGGTGTGCTGATCCACTCATCTGTTGAGTAAGTAGGTGGTTCCAGTTTTCAGCTGGTGTGAACGAAGATATTGAGAACACTGATGTACGTGCTTCTCAGTGAGCCTACATTCTTATTTCTCTGGGATAAGTGCCCAATGGTACAACTGCAAGATTACATGGTAAACCAATTTTTAGTTTTTAAAGGAACTAGCAAAGTCTGTACTTGAGTAGTTATATCGTTTACATACTCACCAGACATATACAAGTAAAAGGGCATTTCTGTATCCTTTCCAGAATTTGATGCTACCGTTATGTTGTTTCATTTTAGCACTTCTGTTAGGATATAGTAATAGTTCATTGTGGATTTAACTAACATTTTTCTAGTGGCTAATGAGATCGACCATGGTTTCATGTACTTATTTGCCATGTATATGTTCTCTTCAGTGAAATTTCTGTTCATATCTTTTACCCATCTTTGAAATAGATTGTGTGGTTCTTCATGTACCCTTTGTATTCCAGATAAGAGTCCTTTTTCAGGTCTGTGGCCTGCAGACATCTCCTACATGTCTGTCGCATGTCTTTTTATCCTCTGAGAGGATCTGTTATAGAGTAAGAGGTTTTGATTTTCATGAGGTTCCATTTACCAATTTTTCCTCTTATGAATTATGTTTTTGGTGTTGTCTAACAATTCTTTCCCTAATCCAAAATCTTTACCCTGTTTTTTCCTAAAAGTTTTATAGTTTTTAAACTTAAGTCCAAAATCCATTTTGAGTGAAGTTCTGAGGTGTGAAGTTTGTATCAAGATTCATTTTCATCATGGCCGTCCAATTGCTCCAACATTGTCTTTTGTAAAACTGTATTTGCAGGGCTATCAGATATGCATTGAAAATATTTGTGTGGGTTCATTTCTGGCTCCCGTGTTCTTTCTCATTAACCTATGTGTCTGTCAGCACTACAACCTTTATCACTATCACAAGTTCTTGATTAACATCATTATGAGATAAACCTCAACACTGGAAGAATTCTTCTTTTTTAAAATTATTATGGCTAATCTAGCACCTTTACATTTCCACATACACTTTATAATAAACTTACTTGTGTATACAAAAAGTCTTCCTGAGATTTTTACAGGAATTCCATTAAACCTATAGATCAGTTTGAGAAGAATTGGCATTGCCTGTTTTCTTCTGATTCAGGAATGCAGTAAATATCTCCAATTCTTGAAGTCTTCTATTTTCTTCATCAGAGTTTCTTACTTCTCAGCATACAGATTTTGTGCATGTTTTGCTGTGTTATATTTAATGGAGGAATTGTTGATGGTGCATTTGTCTCTTGTTAGTATATAGAATGTTGTGTCATTTTGTGTGTTTATCTTGTATCTTGCAATCTTTCATAACTCATTTATTATTTCTAGGAGCTTTTTTGTAGATCCCATTGGGTTTTCTATATAAACAATCATGTCATAAACAAGTAAAGACAGTTTTACTACTTCCTTTCCATATGTATAATATACATCAGCTTCACACACACGCATGCTAGTCACTTAAGGCATGTCTGTAACATAAGGTTTCACAGCCCCAAATTTACCTGGCCTATCTCATTCTCTTCCTAGACTGAGGACACGAAGATGAGCATAGCTAAAGTAGTTTACAGGATTCACAAGGACATCCAAATGCCAGCTGTTACATCCAGTTCCAGATGCCCTGGAGCAATGTCGACAGTCTCATTGTCTTACTTCTGCAGCCACCACCCCCCCCATTCTGGGAAAAGCAGAGCCTCAGAGACCACCCACACTGAGGTCACACCTCCCCCAACCAGGAACAACAACTGCATGATGGGAACTGAGGCTCTCCCCCCTCCAAAACAGGAGTCAACATCTCATGATGGGAAGTGATTGGCCCCTCCAGGATGATGGTGCTCCAGGGTCCAATTGGATCGGGACTTAGCCAGAATTACCTACCCAGCTGACTACACAAACCACCCAGCTATGCACACCCCAATCTTTACCTTTGTCCCTCTTTTCTACAAAACCTCTAAGCTTCTGCCACACCTTCAGAGACAGATCCTGAACCACTTTATCTGTGCATCCCAGCACGGCCACCCTGACTAAAGCTCCCTTCCTGCCCTGTACTCCTGCTGTCTCTATGATCAGTATTATGGGGGTGAACAGCCTCCTCTGCTTGGGCTTCCAGAGCCAAGGTCTGAAAACTCCAGTGACATGGTCACTGCGAAATGTATAACTGGAATCATACCACTTAGGATAGCTATCTTCACACACGGTACTTTTTTCAAGTTGCTGTGTGTATGAATTTCTTGTTCTTTTTTATTCCCAAGTAGTTGACCTCCTATATGTGCTGCTCAGCTTGTTTAACCATTCAGCCTTGGAGGGCCATCTGACCTGACTCCAGTTTTTGCTTATTATAAATAATTAATTGTAAATAAAACTGCGGTGACATTTATGTACACCCACAGTTTAAGTACGGTGAGCTTTATTCTGCCTCACATTACAGTCCAGAGGCTCTGAGGAAGGATGCCTTGGCCAAGGCAGAGGTCAAGCTGCTCACCTCAGGGTACACAGGAAGCAGAGAGAAAGGAGAGGAGCTGGGAAGGGGGATGCAGCCTGCTGGGTCATGCCTACAGTGACCTACTTCTTCCAGCCTCCCAACAGCAAGTCAGACGCAGCACGCTATCATCCTTTCACCTTCCAAAGACCCCCTACGAGTGCCTGAGGCTTTAGAGGTATCTAGATACAAACCATAATAGCTAGAAAGGATGAGCGGAGGCTCCGGGCCCTCAAGGTGTAGGCGCAGGGACAGTATTTCTCCCATTGTGCCCACCTGCATGACAATTAGCTGAAAGTTTCTAGGGGCCATCCAGAATCTAAAGAAGCTGCTGAATGTGGGAATCTGTATTTCTTCTCCAGTGCTAGGGAGGTGACGCAAGGCCTTGCAGGTGCTAAGCAAGTGCTCTACCACGCGGCCGTAGGAATCTGTATTTTTAACAAGCCGTAATTCTTCAGTTAGAGAAACACATGGAATCAATCTTAGTTGTCACAACGGCATCCCCGCTGTTCTACAGCTCTGTGATCATTCTGAGACTCTGAAACTCAAAGCCCGTTAAATGGAAGAAAAGTCCCGAGGACTACGGACATTTGTGGAACTCCTTCCAAACAGGAGGCCTTGGAGGCAAGAAACCCGGGGGGGGGGGGGGGGCGGGAGGATTGCGGGGCGGAACCGACTGGACCCCCGCAAGCTCTTACGGCCTCTTCCGCCTGCCCCGCCCCTCCACGCCCGGCCCCCCCATCATCGAAGGTTCAGACAGGCGCCGCGGGCACCCCGGATGTGACGTCACGGAGCCGCGCCGGTCGTAGGAGAGGACCCCGCCGCGAGCGCGTCCCGTCGGGTCCTTGAGCCTGAGCGGGTGGTGTAGCCATGGCCTTGAGGCTCCTGACCCTGGCACCGGCGTGCGCGGCTGCGAGCGGCCTCGTGGCTGGTGGCCTGCGCGTGGTGAGGAGACAGCGGGCGGCGGGGGCAGGCCGCAGGCGGGCGCCGGGCCTGTCCTCGCTTTGGCGGGGCCCCTAGCTGAGGTCGGGTCTCGGGCCCAGGCGGCTCCCAGGGTCACGGCAGGGACCATACCGCTCCCGGGATTGTCCGCCTCTCGGTCGGGTCAGAACGCAGGCGTCCGCGACTGCGCCAGGCAGAGCGCTGCAGCACCGAGCGGGTCGCTCGCCTGGCGGCAAATTGGGAGACTACAGTAGCTTGTAGATACTGAGTTTAGGGCCATTGCTGGGTTAGTAGGAGCCCGGGACAGGCTGGTGTCCCGAGCGCGCATTCATTCGGTAATTCATTAGCCGCCTTCTCAAGCGTCTTTGAGAAGGTTCAGACCCTGTCATTCTGGGGTGATGTGATGTTTGCAGTAACAGAAGAGACACTGGAGTTAGATTTGGGGGGATTATACAATATGTTATATTATATTCCTGTGGTAGAGACAGCGAGATGACATTCGAGCGGGAGAGGGGCGCGGGAAGCAGGGGTGCAAACATTTAGGAGACCGATTTATGACAGTGGCGAGTGAGCGGCTATAACTACGTCGTGTCAGGATTGTAAAGGGCCTTGGCCTCCACGCTAAAGATTTTGGTCTTGAACATAAGATAATAGTCTTACTTAAAAGTCTCTCGAGTATTTTAGGACATAATCCGAATTGCAAAAGAGGGAACTGTATCTCTTTAGTACCTGTGTCCTGGGATTTAAGTGAAAGTAACAGCCCCAGAAGAGAGCTAACTAAGTAGGCACTGCGTAGACCCGCCTGGAGCGGTTCATTAGACCCAGAGAAATACTAACAAGATGAAACAGGTGTAGACCTTCGATTTGAGAATTGGGAATGTGCCATGGAAGATCAGTGATCTGTGATTCTGGACAGCATAAGAATGGGATCGAGGATTGAAACTTTAGGGAAGACTTAGGTAGTTTATTAAAGATCACTTTCCCCTGTCTTCTTCAGTGATGTTGTTTCCTATATTTGTAACATAGTTGTTTTGTCACATCGTGCATTGCATCCTGGGATCTTTTGATCTGAAAGGCTTTTATACATTTGCGCACACTGAATTCATTCTTCTTGACGTCCGGTGAATTTTACAGGTGTAATAGTGTGTCACCTCATTTACAGTACCTTACCAAGTAGTTGCACGGCTCTAAAAAATCTAGCGCTGAAACCTTTACTTTATTCTGCAAATCCCAGACAGCCACTGATCTCTACCATTTCTGTCATTTTGTCTTTTCTGGAATGTTACGTGTTTGGATTTACACAGTATGTTGTCCTTGAGACTGTTTCACCTAGAAATTTCCTTTTGAGATTCACTCCTCTCTTTGTAGCTTATTGTCATTTCTTTTTTGTCTCTGAGTAATCCTCCGTTGTATGGATACACCATCGTTTAACCATACAGTTATTGCAGGGCAAGTGGTTGCTATCAGTTTGGAGTAGTGGTGAATAATAAAGCTGCCATAATGGTGTGGGTGCAGACTTTCCTGTGGAAATGCACATGATGGATATGATTACTGGATCATGTGGTGAGACTGTAGTTCTGTAAGAAACTGTCAGACCTCTTCCAAAGTGACTACCATTTACTTTCCTCTCAGTGGTTTGGGAGCATCCCTGTCGTCTGTATTCCAGCCAGTATGTGGTGGTGCTGTTATTTGGATCTGTAGCCGTTCTAACAAGTGTGTAGAGGTGTCCCTTTGCTGTTTTCTCTGTGATTTCCAAATGACAAACAATGCTGAACATCTCTTCCTATTTTTATTTGCCATCTGCACATCATCTTTTGTGAGATCTGTTTAGATCTTCAGCCCATTTTTAGAGGTGGTTGTTGCTTTTCTTTCTTCTTTGCAACCTGTTCATTTCTCACCCTTCTGCTAGTAATCAAGTAAACCAAGAGTGAAAAGAATTTCGTTATATTATTCTGTATTATTTTCTCTGTAGTAAAATGTTTTGTATTTGTGAGTGCTTAGTATTCCATAATAAGGAGTCGATTTTTTAAATTAGTCTTCTGGTGTTGGACATTGAGGCTTTTTATTTACAAGGTTGATATTATAAACCACGCTTTATTGAGTAACTACTGGTGGATCTTTACACAGATTCCCTTCAGATTGGCTGTTGATCCAGGCCCTGTACCTCTAGGTGTCATCACCAACACCAGCCCATAAGGACATGCGTGGTCTTTTCCTAGCACTTTATAGCATCTTTTTAAAAAAACATTTCTCAGTTTGATAAATATTTGCTTGTTAATAGTCTCTGTTTGCTTTCTTAAGCCATGTTAAACATTTTTATGTAGCTATTGGCATACTTCATACTTTTTAAGTAAGCTATACATGCCTGTCCTTAGGTTTTTTGTTTTAATTTTCATGTTTACTAGTATGTGTCTGCAGCATATAATGATTGCGTTCACTGAAGGTTTCTAGAAATTTTTAGGTAATATTTCCTAATGCCTACAGTAACCAGAATGGTCATGTGTTGTTGTTGTGTCTTTTAGGGACGAATTCATACCGGCGTACAGTGCAAGCTGCGGTATGGGGCTTTGGCGAACTTCCTTGGTGACAAGGCATCCAAAAAACTGACAAAAGAAAGCAAAGTGATAACTGTAGACGGCAACTTATGTTCTGGGAAGGGCAAGCTCGCAAAAACAATAGCAGAGAGTCTAGGTATGAATTTATGTCATGCGGAATGGTACCTTTTTATGGTTGTTTATCTCATTTTGATTTTACTTAAGTGTCAACTAGGTGGAATTGGGCCTGAGGTAGGTAGTTTACATTTTTTAAATTGTTTATTAGTACTGTTTAAATTTCTGAAATGTTTATTGGAAAAGTTGTTTTTAGTATTTCAAATTTGGGGGAGGAGGGATGCATGCCAGATGTCAGTCAGAATTGGATTTGACCTGGGTATTGCAGGCAGGGCATTTCCATGGGGCGTAGTAGGTGGTCTTCATGAATGACCCTGACACAGTCTGAGCTTTGTTTTCAGTCATTTGAGCACCCAGCAGACTGGTGGGACAAGGCGATGTCACACAGCTGCTGGCCAATAGATTCCCCTCCCAAGTCCTTCTGTGGGTGTTTGTCCACTGTGCCTTCCTGTGGCGTTTGACCAGGTCCTTCAGCATGCAGGCATGCTGTCATCAGTGAAGCATGGGAGTGAGGGGGACTTTTCCATTCAGCCGGCTGCCCACGGTGGGAGGGCATGCTCCACTTGTGCTTCATCTAAGTACTCTTTCCTCAGGCCTGAAGCACTTTCCTGAAGCAGGGATCCATTATATAGCCAGCATTTCGGGAGACGGAAAGCCCCTGGATGAGGACCTCACTGGCAGTTGTAGTTTGCAGAAGTTTTATGATAACCCACAAAGCAATGATGGCAACAGCTACCGCCTGCAGTCCTGGCTGTACTGCAATCGCCTCGTGCAGTACGCAGATGCCCTGGAGCACCTGCTGAGCACAGGTGAGTGTTGGGGCTCAGCTGGCTGTCATGTGTTTGAGCTCGATGCTGCTGTAGAATTCAGCCACTTCACATTGCTGTAAGTAGAGCTGTTTGGTAAGGGTTCTCGATGAGGCTTGTTCTCTCTTTCCAGTAAGATCGTATGGTCTGCAGAATCCACATTATTGTTGCTTCAGACTGTAAATGATGAAAACTGTTTTATTGCTTGTACTGTAGTGAGTTGTATAGGTTGAATAGCATTTGTGTGGGGCTTGTTAAGCATATTAATGAAATGTGTCAAAATAATAGAGGAAAGAGAGGACATGTAAAGGACTGGGAGGAAGTAGAATCACACGTGTGAAGGGGTAGTGCGGGGCATACAGAGATACAGTGGAATTGTTCCAGAGGGCTGAGAGCTCAACTGGGATGCACCCCAAGGCCACAAGCAGGAGTTGGAACTTGGAAAGGTGGCAGAGGTGAGGAGAGGCAGAATATACAGGTCTCATGGGCCCATGTAGGAAGCTGTGGACAAGAACTGTACTTTTGGGCAGGCCACGCTCAGAGCCTGGGAGAAGGGCAGTAAGCACCTAGAAACAAAGTTGGAAGTGAAGAGAGGTGGACAGAGGGCAGGAACATAGGTTGTATGTGTGCACACGAGGTCCGAGTCCAGCAGGGGCTGTACCAGTCCTGTGGGAAACAGCAGTGTGTGTTGCACTGGGGCTGACCCCAGGACACCTGACAACCAGACACCTGCCAGTTCCTGGCCATACCCACCGTGCTGTGGTGCTGTCAGTTCACGGGTAGAAGCCAGTAGCAGTGCCTGTGTGTGGAGAGACGGAGATGGCTGGTTATGACAGCTTTGTGTCCGCTTGGTGACCATGAGTGACATCAGAGCCCCCCAGGAGCATGTGCACACAGAGCCGGCCCCGGGGGTTCAGTGGCAGTGGAGCTTCTGCCTTCCCTCACGTTCCATCCTCTTTGCTGAACAGCCATGCAGGCGCCCTGTGGGGTTTCCTACATTTTCTGAGTGACTCTTTTTCTTCCACTGCTTAGTGTTGCCCCTAAGGAGATTTGTGGTCTGTGTCCTACCTGTTGGAGCTCTGTACCAGGCAGGCCCTGACTCAAGGCAAGGGCCTGTGCAGTCGCTTGGGTGTGATGCTGGCGTTCAGGCCACTTCAGTTTCTTTTTGAAGTGTACTTCACCCAATTTTCTGACTATGCACTTTAAAAATACTAAATAGACTTTTGCTTGTTAAATGAATTTGCTTGTTAAATGGTTTGTTTTCTCTTATGCTATATTAGTTTATTCATTAAATATTAACGAGTACCTAGTATGTGCTGGGCCCATTCCAGGAACGTGGGGGTGGCTTTTATCTTAGTAGGGAGATAAAAGCTGAACATGGAAGCAAGCATCAAAGGTAGTGAGTGAATGATGGGTGCGCTAGGGAGGGAACGGGACTGGGGTTTGCTTTTCAAGATGGGAGGGTTTAAGAGGCTTCTGCCAGGGCCAGTAGGGCTGATTATAAGGAGCTTGTGCCCTGAGCAGTGAGTCTTGTCCTGGGACCGCTGTGTCCAGGCTGGGAGTGGGTGGAAATGGAATCAGAGAAGCAGGCCAGGAGCGACGTTTGAGCCTCGAGAACCCCACACAGACTGGTGTCTCCTGAAAGAGAGCGCAGCCATCAAGCAGCTTTGGCACAGGGCCTGATCTGGAGCCAGGAGCTGGCGAGGACAGGGGCAGCGAAGGGAGGGTGGGTGGGAGAGGTGCGTGGTGGGCAAGAGTGCCCAGGGTGTTTGTGATGGACCTGAGGTACAGGAGCAGGAGTCCTGGAGCACTCTGGTGTCCGACCAGTGTAGTTGGGATGGGTGGACTGGGACTGGGGTGGGCATGGTGAGGGGAAGTAGCTTATTTAAGAGCAGAGGTGCCTTTCCCTTAGCTGGAGGCTGTGGCAGCTGACTAAAGGAAACAGAATGGTACCAGAACTGAAAAGACACTTTTGCAAGTGATTTCCCTCTTATGAATACATGTGTAGTCCTTTGAATATAATTGGCATGGAACTGGAACTATAAATGGCGCCTTTGTCCGTTTCTGAAATGAAGTTACTAGTTCTTCTGCTCTTTTTTTAAAAAAGAGAATAATAAAAGAAAACCAAGAGCAAAATACCAACAACATAGACAAAAACAGAACAAAGCAAAAAAAAATTAAGACACAGGGTTTCAGAACAAAATGATAGGAATTAACAGTGGTTGTTATATTACATATTGTTATTTTCAACAAAGTTGCTCAGATTACCAGATGTAAGAATGCAAGATTGATCAAATCATTAAAGAGAATAAAAAATAAAACAAAAGAAACATTAGAAATGATACAGAGCTTCACTAAACAAGATGGTAGGAATTTACCAATGGTCGTTATATTGTATATTGTTGTCTTCAAATTAGTTGTTCAGATTACAAGGTATAAGCATGCAAAATTGGTTGGGAAAAAAGAAACTTTAAAAAGATAAGCATTAACTGTTCCTTTCAATAAACCATTAGACATCAGCAGTACAGTTATTCCATGGTTGTGCTGCTTTTTATCTGTGGTTTTTAATTTTGTTTGCTTGTGTTTAAACAGGACAAGGTGTGGTCTTGGAGCGCTCCATCTACAGTGACTTTGTCTTCATGGAGGCGATGTATAACCAGGGCTACATCCGGAAGCAGTGTGAGTCGTGTTGTCACTGGGCCAGGTGGTGGCGTCTGTGGAGGATGTGCTGCACGGCTTGGTGTTTGACAAGGCCATTGTCTCACTTGGTGCCTTTCTCTTCAGAGTTTGTGGTGTAGGCCCCGTCAGCTCAAGGTCAGGTCCTGGTGTCATAGCTGCTCTGAGCCACGCACTTTCCTGGGCCTTTGTGTGCAAACACAATGGTGGGCAGCGCCACTGAGTGTGAGCTGCCGTGAGACCCAGCCCTGCAGCTCCTTGCCTGTGCCCTATGTGCCATGGGGGCTTCTGCTCCACCTCGTACATGCTGATCGCACAGTGGTTTGTTGGTCAGAACTGCATGAAGCTTTGTCCTCTCTTCTGGGAGGAGCACATGCCAGAAGCCTATCTGGGTCAGATGACGACGGTGTCCCCTACAGGTGTGGACCACTACAACGAGGTGAAGAAACTCACAGTCTGCGAGTACCTGCCTCCCCACCTGGTGGTCTATGTCGACATACCCGTGCCAGAGGTCCAGCGGCGAATCCAGGAGAAGGGTGACGTAAGTCGCTTCTGTGTCCAAGGATACAGCATTCTTTTGTATGTCCTTGCTATTTCTAACATGGCTCTACACTTACAAGTCATGCAGGACTTCAGATTCTGATAGTCTTCACGAAGGTGGGTATCCCTGCTGAGGGAGTGTGAGCGGTTGGCCTGGAGGCCCAGGGATCAGCCTGACACTGTCCCTGGGGAGGAGCTGCTTTCCCAGTGCTGCCAGTCCCTCCCATGAGGAGGGGGAGGCCTCCTGACAGGCTCCTCCCCCTGTGGGCCTTCTATGGCCTGTTTTCCTGTAGATGGAAAGCAGTTTCTGAGATTCTTCGCTTGCTGCTGCTTCCATACCTCTTCCCTGCTTACAGGCTTTATAGTGGACAATAGAACACTGGTCTCTCCACATCCTGCCCCTGTTTTTTTGGGGGACAGACTTGCTAGGGTAACACATGCTCTGTAGGCAGGTGGCCAGTACAGAGTGCAGCAGAGGCTGTGCTGCCCTAGAGCTTGCCCACAGTACGCAAGGCTGGTGGAGATTGGCAGAGATACTGCTGCCTCAGGGCTGGCTCAGGTTCCCTGCTACAGAACTGTCCTGGAGGAAGCACCATCTTTTTGGCCTTGTGTGGGTGCAGGCTGTCCGTTGGTCCATTCAGTGCGATCCTTGGTGCTCGGGTGCCCGCAAGTGCCAGGATGTACCCTTCCAAATGGCAGCCTTCACCATCCTTTACTGCCTCTCGAGGTCCTATGAGATGGACTCTTACCTCAGGTACAAGCATGTGTGAGATGTGCAGTGGTCCCTACTTAAGCCTCTCCATTGCCTTGTTTTTAAGAGTTTGCTCTTAAGTGTGATAAGTAATTCAAACTGGGGAACATACCATTATGTGGGAAAAGAAGAAACTGAGTTTAAAGATATTTACTTATTTGCCAGTGGAGTAATTTTTCACATCTTTGCTGTTAACACTGATATTTACCAATAAAACTAAAGGCATATATGCTGAATTTTCTAGATAACTATTTTGTTAACAGAACTTGAAAACCAGTTCTGAGGATCAAATCTGAGCTGTCCAACATTCTTTCTCCCAAGTAAAGTCTTAGATGAATAGTGTCAGCAGCTAGAATTCAACTGTGTGAAGATGGGAGGCATTTACCAAGGAGCCAGTGTGTTATCAGTAAGTGTGTGTTCCCACTTTTATTTCTATTCCATTGCATTCTGCCTCTGTGGGCAGCCTCTGGAAATAACTGATGGGAATACTTGAAAATCACTTTTGAACTTATAAGACAAGGACAGAGTTACTATACTGAAGACTTTGTGCAGTCTTCGTGGGTTAGATTTCTGTGGTGGTTGTGCATTTAGAGTACCCTGGGGTCCCTTCCTGATTCGCCTGCACACACTCTTCCTTGGACCCTGCCACCCCTGCTAACCCCAAGTGCCTTCCACCTGCTGCTAGCTAGGAGCACAGAGATGCATGGTACCTCCCCTGTGCCTGGTCCTTGTTGGAAGTACAGCAGCTCCCTGTTCCCCTGGTTTCCCCGAGGGCACAGTCCCCTTCAGTGACAGAGTGTGAAGGTGCCTTTGCGAGTCTTACAGTCCCTGTGTCTGGTCTCATTCTAGAGATTGTAGGCACTCAGGAAATACTCTGCCAATAGGAGGTGGGATTTTTGTTTGTTTGTTTTGAACAGTTTTTTTGAATTTGAATCGTAATTTGTACCTCATTAAATTCACCCAATTTAAGAGTACAACTCAGTGACTTGTAGTAGTTTACTAAATTGTGATAACTACTACCACGTTGCAGTTCTGGAATGTTTGTGTCATTTTGTAAGTGAAACAGCTGACCCAGGTATTTCTCTTCCCTCCCTCCCACAGTGTTTATTGAGCACTGCCTGGACCCTGGCATGCTAGGGATGTGTGGGGCAGGCTGAGAGAATTCCTCACTCCAGGAGCTGATGTTCTCCAGGAGAGCATGCAGCTCATGCTGCAAAGAGCAGCCAGGACGACAAGATAATGTGACTTAGCTTTTGCTTTGCTAAGCTGTGAGAAGTTTTAAATACTAAAACTTGCTACTCATAATTGGATTTTAAATTCTCTGAATTTGGCTTCAATGGTAAAGAGTGAGAGTTAGAGCAAGGGGCAAGGTGGAGAAGGGGAAGGATGGAGAGATGGGGGAGGTCTGCAGCAGAGAGGAGGAAGCCAGGGGCAGATGGGAGCAAGGGAAGGCGGTCAGTCCTCCCTTATCTGTGGTCTTGTTTTGCCTGCAGTTGACCAAGTACAACAGGAAAGACAGCGGTGCTTTACAACAGGGGCCTCTCTTAGCCCTGCTTTGGTGTGCACTGGAGCCCACCTGGCCAGCCAGGACTCACCGTCCTTTGACTCATTCCAGTTGGCACTGAGGGTCACATTGCACCCCGAAGTCCCTGCAGTGCTCAGCTCATCAGAAGAAAGCAGTGCCTTTGAGGGTCTTTGTATTTTGCATGTACACAGGTAAAAAGTGAAAGGGTATTTAAATGTTTCCCAGTTTGATCTTTCTGCTTATGTTTAGCCGCACGAAATGAAGGTCACCTCTGCCTATCTCCAGGACATCGAGAATGCCTATAAGAAGACCTTCCTCCCTGAGATGAGGTGAGCACAGATGATTTATGGACCAAAGCTTCTTGGCAAGTAGATTGTTCCTCTCTTAGTGCTGGCGTGTCGTACATAAGGGTGATAGGAACATTTCAGTTCAATTTTTGCTGGGACTTTTGGTTTGCATGTTTCTCAGCTTTCTGTTTTGTTATATCCTTAAAAGTTTCTTGGTGCCAAATGTAAACCTAAGTTCTAATCTCTGTCTAGTTTCAGTACTAGAGAATTCGTGTATTTTTACTGAAGTGGCAACTCAAGGTCATGTTTATCTTGAAGGATGGCTTGAACTATTCAGTGTTCTCAGGGGCAAACCATCTCCACAGACGCTTACTGATATCTTTCCTTAGTTGCAGATGCCACTGCCAGACCCCTTTTTCCGCTTCTCTGTCTGTTCTTTTCTTATTGAAAGCATCAGGAAATTGTGTTTTCATCTGTGCTTCAGCTTGTCATTCTGTGATCCTTGGGGGTGTTAGTGTGTGAGGGAAGTCATTACTGCTGTCACCCAAGTCCAATTACAGTTAGACTGTGTGAATAATGCTTTTATTGAAGGTTTTCAGTAGCATTTCTCATACTTCTTTTAAACTTAAGCTTCTTCTTGTGTCCTTCTTTGAAATGTCAAGGTAACCTAAAATTATGAATAAAATTGAGGTATTAATTTTATAAGTTTTGTTTTTAAGTTGAGAATTATTTTTTTACCATTAGTATCAGTGCTTGTTTGTGGTGAGCTCTTCTTTCTTCAGTAGGAAAGACAGGGAGAACTATAGGTTGCTTTTAACCTGTTCTGCTGTTCTGTTTTTAAGACTAGGAGTATGGACAAAAGCAGTTTTGCAGATCTGTGCCCAGGGGAATGCGCAGAGCTATGCGAATAGACAGCCTTAGAAGAGATAGTTGATTGTAGAAAGTTGTTCCAAAAACCCCTCCTGCAGATCTGGCTGCAGAGAGGTCACTGAGCAGGAGCCTCCTCCTCCATCCTCCCTTGGAACTCGGCTGTCTGGTTCCAGCCTGCTCGCGGGCTGAGACTGACACTGTTGGAACCTTGTGGTTACTTTCGGGACCTTGCCCTCTGGTCTTGTCACGCAGAGGCACACTCAGCAGCAGCTCTCACTGTCTGTTCCTCCTTGGACGTTGGTATTTAGCTCCTAAAGTCTCAGCTTCAGTATTACAGAGCTCGGGTGTGCATGCCTCAGAGGTCCAGAGAGTGCCACCCTCCACGGTGCTGATACTGACAGCTTCCTCCTCTGTTTGTCGAAGGTGGCTGGGGAAGTACAGGGTGGAGCAGGAGAATGTACAGACCCTCAGGTGCCAGGGCATCACTGACTGCGATGGCTGGGTTTGGGCCATATCGACTACCGGGTGGTGTTGGAAACCTTTGCTAGGTTCTGCTGGGCTCACTGGTTCCTGAGGATGGTTTCATAGGACTTCTATGATACCGGCCATGCTGAGCTCCGCTGCTGCACGCTGCAGCGCACTGGCCTGGTTTCTTGTATTGATCTTGATGAGTGTCAGCATATTGTTGAAAACAGGGCGGCATTGGCATGCGGCTGAGGTTTGAAAAGGAAGGGTCTCTCTGCAGTGTTGTTGCCATGTGTCGTCAGAAGTCACAGAGGTCATAGGAATGGCACCAGTGTCCTGCAGAGGAGGACACGTACAGCGTATGCTGGCAGTGTCCCAAGGGGCCACGTTCATGTGGGCCATTTGTGGCCGTTGCTGGCTTCTGGTTGTACAGTGGTGTAGTTCATTCGTAGGAGAGTCACACACTCTGGGGATTAAGTGTCCTGGTTTCCAAGCTCATGTTGTCTTTGCCCTGGATTGTTAGACTTACGGTGCATTGAGGAAATCAGCCTCTTTTTTTTTTTTTTTTTTTTTTGGTAATATGAACCCTATCAAGTTTCTGGGTTGGTTGCTTTCTTTATTTGTCCTCATCTTCAGCCACCACAAATGGAAAAGGTACCTGAGAAAAGTGCTGGCCAGGGCACCTGCTTTTGTTGAGCTGATGGTATCTACACTGGCCAGGCATGTGCGCCCACTGCCGTGCAGAAAGATTGTTCATTTGGCCTTTGTCTCACTCTCTTGCTGGTTTCTACTTCCACTAACACCCTCTCAGGCCCACGCTCAGCACTTTTCTTTCACAAATCCTCTTTTCCAGTGCGTTGGGTGAACCAAAATGAAATTTTTAAAAGGGTTTTCCTTTGTGCTTGTTTGAAGCACTTTCTAGACACTGTAAACAAAGGTTCAGAGCTGGAATGTAGCTCTAGGTGGAGAACTTATGTCGCATGCATGTGGTCCTGGCTTCACTCCCTAGCATCCAAAGAGGTATTAATAATAAAATGAAAATTAAAGGTTATGCATTTATTAATCTTAAAAAAGGAAATGCTTGCACTGTTTATGGTTGCAGAACAGGCAGCCCTGTGGCCTGTGCAGAGGACTGCATATACATCAGGTGCCACGCTTACACCTGCCACTTTCTCTTCCACTTTCAGGGAAGCATGGTGAGCACTGCTTTCTGGAGTTCGTACCATAAGAAATCGACAGTACGTAGGCATACATATGAATGTTCGTGCAGGGGTTTTTAATTTATTAGTTGTTCCGAATGAAAGTCATAACTTGTTTTAATTATAGCCCATGACCTTTCTGCTCTTGTAGATTGATTTTTTTTTTTTTTTTTTTTAGTACCAGGGATTGAACTCATGACCTCGTGCTTGCCAGGCAGGCGCTGTGCCGCTGAGCTACATCCCTGGCCCTCTTGTAGATGGATTAACCCTTGAGCATTTGGGTAGATGGACTCTGTCCATTTTTAAATGGAATTCTGCCAGGCAGCCAGTGCAGATTTATGGCAGCCAGTTAGCTTGTGGGACGTTTGTCACGTTGAGATGAACAGTTGCCGAAAGCTCACAGCGCGATGTTTACGTAAGTGTGGAGTCACAGGCTGCTGTGTGTAATGGCCGTGGTCTTGTGTGTGGGATCACAGACTGAGGTTGTGTTGCAGCCGTGTGATGAGCTGGGATCTTAAGGCTTTCTCTAGAATTGTACTATAAAATTTGACTACCACTCAAGGTTTAAGAAACGTATAACAAATGGATATAATCTGATTGTTTTAAGTGGCTGGGGATTGAACCCAGGGCTCCACTGGAATATCTGCTGTCTGGCTCTGGAAGCTGGAAGGTGTTTTCTGACAAGTAACTCTTAAGTCTTCTGGGCTTGCTAACTGAGGACCTGACAGCTCAGCATGACGTGCACCCTAGCAGACCCCCGGGCTAGCCTGCCTCATGGCCTTGCACACAGCCCCCTCTTTGGTCAGGAGGTGTGGCAGAGGCAGCTCCTTCATATAGTAAGGTCCAGACGTAAGGCCTGAGGTTTGGTCATCGCCTGGCTGCCCAACCCCAGCCCTGATGGTCAGTCTAAACTTGTGAGAGGGACGAAATGTTGGAGATGGGGATTGCTGTCCCCTTCTTTTTGAGCTCTACTTGTGCTTTTCTAGTGTCTAGACTACGGACTGAGGAGTGAGAGAACTGAGTTGCTGCTACCTTTTGCATATTCAGTTGAAGTGGGTTATCTTGTGGGTGTCCCTGAATTCTTGAATTTTAGCAGCTTGGTCACTGTGTCTCCTGCCTACTGTCCTTCGTGCCCTGTCCCAGGAGGCCCTGATTGCTCATCCTGTCCTCTAATGGCAGTTGCAGTTGCGGAGCGCAGGTGTGGCAGTTGGTTGGCAATGTACCTCGTCCCCTGTCAATGGTGGCCATAGTCAGTCACACCTACGGGCTGGGAGAAGGAAGCTAGGAAACAAACCTGCTGCCCTCCCTTCCTGCGTGAGCACACTGCCTCTCTTTAGTCCATCTCTCTGGGCGGGCACACTCCGGGGACATGCCCAGCACCATGCCCAGCTCCAGATGGTGTAGTTTTTTTGTTTTTGGTTTGTTTTTTGTATTTTGTCTTTTTGAGACAGGGCCTCACTATGCAGTTCAGGCTGGCCTTGAGCTTACTTTGTAGCCCAGGCTGGTCTTAAACTCGCAACGATCCTCCTGCCTCAGCCTCCCGAGTGCTAGGATTACAGGCATGTGCCACCATACCTGGCTCAGACGATGTAGTTTGATTGTTCAGGGGAGACATCAGTGGTCTGTGTTCATTTGACAAGAACTTCAGCCTGGAAATGTTTACATTCAACTTTGCTTTGCTCTTTCTTACAGTGAGAAATGTGAGGTTTTGATATACAGTGCAAGGGATGTCCAAGATGCAAACAAGGTAAGAAAAGGGACAAGGTAATAAACATTCTTCTGTTTGATTCATATGTAATATGCTTTAAATCTGATAAATTCCATTCCTACTGGTTTCAGGAACAACAGCGTTTCATAGTCCAAAAGCACTATCCACCCAGCCCGTTGCCATCACCTGACCTTATTTATTTGTTTTATTTATTTATCTATTTATTTATTTATTGGCTTGTTTTTAGCTGCCTTTTTTTTTTGAGACAAGTTCTCGCTCTGTAGTCCAGGCTGGCCTCAAACTTGTGACAATTGTGCCTCAGCCTCCTGAGTGCTGGGTTTACAGGCATGCGCCACCACACCCAGCTTCTTGTATGATTTCTTTTTTAAAAAATAATTTAAGTTTCTGTGATCTTAAATTACAGATGGTAAAGATACAAAGAGCCTTGGGTCATCTGCTTCAACGTTTTTATTAAATGTATGATAAAGTTGAAAGCTGGATTAGTTAATGGGAAAGATTTACTTATTTAAAGATAATAGCTTTCTGCAAGTCTGCATTTTGTGAAATTCCACTTAGTCTCAGTGGGGTTAGCAGAAAACTTAATGAGTAATAGCCAAAAACGTTCTGAGAAAGAATAAGTAATTCAGGACCTTTGCCCTCCCAAATACAAAAGCATATTGTAAAATACAGCCATAAAATCAGTGGTATCAGTGCAAGAATTAATAAATATCCTGGTGGAACAAAACAGTTCGAAAGCAGGGTTGTGTGTGTCTAAGTCTGGCAAAGTCAATTCCTTAAAGATAATAAAAAATGAAGTAGGAGGGAATGGACTGAAATGATACAGAGGCAACTTAACATCATTTGATAAAAGCAGAAGGTCTTTATTATGGACTAAGCATAAATTGCTAAAAGACAGACGTGACACCAAAAGGTGTAGGAATTCGAGAGTCTTGTGTGGATTGCAGGCCTGCTTGCCTTGCAGGTAAGAGCATGCATAGTGGGTTGCTGGAACAGCGGGTACTCCTGGCCGCCTCACTACAGGGAGGCCGGAGGCCAGGGGAGGTCAAGCAGGGGGCGGTTCTCCTGTATGGAGCCTGCTCCAGCTATTTCCTGCTGTTGAAATTCTTTTGAGACCTTGGCTTATTCTCCTTGGACTGAAAATTAAATTTCATTTCTTTACCTCCCTGTTTCTGTGATGCTGATGTTTGCCTGTAGATTATTTGTATACCGCTTGACAGAACGTTTAGAAGGCCTGCATCTTAGAAAAATAACGCGTTTTACATCCAGGACTGTGTTGGTACTTGTGAGCCTTGCTGAGCACACTCACATTCTTGACGCTTAGAGGTCGGTGCTGGGATGTCTGGGAGGAGAATGAGAAGTTTGCTGTCTGGAAGACTGGCCTGGAGCTGGGAGGCTGAGACTTGGTTTTCTCTGGGACGTGCTTATGTTCACATCCCGCACTTTGTGAGGCTCAGCCTTGCCTTCGGGAACGAGCTTGCCTGGGAAGCCGCGAGTCGTCCGTCCGGAAGGCGAGCTTTCCCTGGAATCCTTTTCGATTCTGTCCTCCTTCTCCAGGCTGCAAAGTGATCTCTGTACTACTCCACGATCCTGGAGTGTTGCCAGCGCTCAAGCCCACCATTTCTTCAGGATTGCGACCCTAACATTCTCTTTGACTTTGGTGTGTGCCAGATACTTTTAACCAGTAGTGTTACCACATTTAAGTTTCTAAAGTGGGGCTGACCATTTAAATTGACCTTTCTTCCTTAGGTGGTAGAGGACATTGAATATCTCAAGTGTGACAAAGGACCCTGGCTGAAGCAGGATGACCGCAGCCTTCACAAACTGCGGTTGCTGTGAGTTCATCGATGCAGGGCTGCTGCAGAGGGCTGGAGGGCTGCTGCAGGGGTGCAGTGTGTTGGGGCTGCTTGTGTGCTATGGAGACCTACAGGCCTCTGAAACAACTGTGGTTCAAGTTAGATGTTATTAGCGCCAACCAGTACTGAGGGGTGTCTTCTTGTCCTGTCCCTTCCAAACAGCTCTTGAATTCGCTGACCAAGTGAGTACTTAATTGATTGCCAGTGTGAAGCCAACAAATACTTTGCTTCCACCATGTGCTAGGTACTCTCTCGCATTACAGACTATAGTATCAAATAAAATCTTGTTCTCATCAAGGATATATTCTAGTATGAAAGAGTACACAAATAGAGCTCTGTGGTTACAAAGGTCATGAAGAGAAGTAGCCCAAAGTCATGAGATTGTGAGTGGCTGAGGGCCAAATGGCTAAGGGGACTGAAGCTACCAGAGGCCTCCCTGTGAGGTGCCAGGTGAAGCCAGGGCTGGGTCCTGCATGAATGAACAGGGGCAGGGAGGCAGCAGCAGAGAGGCTGCGAGGCGGAGCTGCCAGGATCGAGGGATGCCCAGCAGCTAAGCCAGTGTGGGAGCAGAGGAGGGGAGGCTGGGATGGGAAAGGGAGTGCAGGGAAGGCCTCATGCTACGTGGAAAGCTACTGTGGGTCCTGCTACACGCCTTTCCTCGTGCACAGGCTCACGTGCCCTGGCTGGCTGCCTGTGGCACGTAAGCACGTGGGCCTCTCACAGGTGACATGCACGTGCAGGGCTCCCACCCCACCCTTGCCTGAATCCCCTGCTCCCTTAGCCCAGAATCTGCTGCCTTATTTGCTTTGGAGGCAGTCTTGAACACGCATTAGTTTTACAGAATATTGGGTTTCATTGTGGCATTTTCATGCATGCGTACAACATCTCTAATCACATCACCCATTATCCTCCCTTATACCCCTGCCCCATTCTGTCTGTGTCTGATGGTCCTTTCCACTTGCACGTCACACTTCTGTCTCTCTGGATTCTGCATAACAGAAAAAAGTGTACGTGGCTTGCCTGAGTCTACTGGCTTGTCCTGCTTAACATGATGATCTGCAGTTCCACCCATCTTCCTGCAAGTGACACGATTTCGTTTCTTCCCGAGGGCCAAACACTGCTCCAGATGTGTACACTGCATTTCCTTTATCATCCATCTGTGGATGGCACCTAGGCTGATTGCATATCAGGATCTTGGGAGTTATGCCACAGTGAGCGTGGGTATTCAGGTATCCTGTGTTCTGAAGGAGGGAGAGAGCTGGATCATTTGATGGTTCTAAATGTTTTGTTTTTTTATTGATTAACCGTACATGCAGGTATCTATTGACTGTGGTGTACATTGTGTTGACATACCATGGCCTGTGGGCCAAACCCAGCCCTCAGTCATTCAGAATGATTTTTGTATTTTCAGAGGATTGAGAAGGGAAGAAAAGGGTTGTGAGAGTAAACTGTATATAGTCCTATGAGCCTACTATCTACAGCAAAAGTTTGTTGACCTCTGAGGTACAGCATAGTCCAGTTTCTCAATATTGATTTTTCTGATTATTATATTCATGATACAATAAGAACTTGTGCACACTTTTGTTTCATTCCAAATTACTTTCTTAAGGTTTAAAAGTGGCTGCCAGGTCAGACTGTACAAACATGTTTTACAGCTGTTGAGTTCTTGCAAAATTCTCCAGGAAGTGTGTGACAGTTTGCACCTTTGTACCTGTCTCCTGCTTAATCTCTGTGAAGGCATTGTGATTAAACAGAAGCAAACAAAAACCTGTGATTTTGTTACTAAGGAAAGATACTTCCTTTGTAGTTCACTTTATACACATTGAACTTCAGTTTAATTGGCCATTTATTTTTCCTTTGTGAATTCCTTCTTCCTGTTCATTGACTTTTTCAGGAACCAGGCTGTGCTGATTTACAGTGCTTTTCTGCTGTGGTTCTATTGTTTTTCCTGCTTCTTTTAGGGCTTGGCTGCTCTTCTCTCTGCAGCTTCCCCAAGTGGAAGCTTAGGTGATGGACCCTCTGTCTCAACAGTGCCCCTCATGCCTCCTTTCTCCCTGGCACTGCTGTGCTGCATTCTGTAGGTGTTGCTAAGTTGTACTTTTATTTTCATCTAGTTTAAAATGTTTTTTATATTTTTAAGACTTCTTTGCCCCAGTTGTTGCTTAGAAGCATGTTGTTTCATATCCGTGTGTACAGGGACTTCCCGCCATCCTTTTGTTGCTGGGCTCTACTTCCATTCCAGGTGGGGCGGTGACCAGGTCATCTGTCCTTGTTGATCCCCTACTGCTGGGGCTGTCCATTTCTCACAGTGGACTGATGAAGTCCACCTCATCAGTACCGGCTTTGTTCGTTTCTCCTTTGAGAATGAACAGTTCGAACCCCATGTATTTCAGTATTAGGTATACACGTTGGGTTTATGTCTTGGTATGTAATGCTCTTCTGTATCCCTGATATTTTTCTTTGTTCTGAAGTCTGCACTCTGAAATTAGTAAAGCTAACCCTGCTTTTGATTAGTGTGGTTATAGTGTGTCTTTTTCCATCTCTTTAACTTATCTGAGTCTTTAAATTATTTTCTTCTGAACAGTAAATAGTCTTGTTTTTTTGTTCATTGTTTTTGTTTTGTTAATAAACTCTGACAGTCTCTACTAGTTGGTGTATTTGGACTTAACATTTGAAGTGGGTTTGCTGTATGCAAACTCATTTTGGACATATTGATTGCTGTTGGTTTGGTTCAGTTTGGTAGTACTGGAGATTGAACCTAGGGCCTTTGCACTGAGCTGCATTCCCAACTGTTTCTCATTACTTATTTTGAGACCTGTTATTGCTAACTCATTAAGTTGCTAGGCTCAAACTTGTAACCTCCTGCTTCAGGCTCCAGAGTGCTGGGATGACAGGTGCAGCAGACTTCCGGCTGCCCTCTGGGGTGTGACTGAGCATTTAGGGAGTTCCTGTTGCATCTATTCTGAGCATTTCAGTTCCTGGGAAAGTGCCTGCTGTGCTGTGCCATTGGCAACACTGCTCTCAGCTCGCGCGGGAGCTGTAATCGCTCAGCATGGTGTTACTTTCATTCTGCGAAAAGGACAGTGGGCCCTGCATGACCTCAGCTTGTCTATACACAGACCGACCAGCTGTGGATAAGAATATTCCAGCATTGTGCATGCCCTGAACAGTGCAGACTTTTTTCTTGCTGTCATTCCCTAGACCATATGGTGTGACAGTTATGTGCATGGTTTTACATTGCGTCAGGCATCATGAGTGATCTGGGGACTGTTGCAGACATACTTGAGGATGCCTTAGGTTACCTGGTTATTTTTCTTGCATTGCTGAGACAAAATACCCAATGCCCAAAATTAAAGAAGGAAAGGTTTATTTAGCTCATAGTTCATGGAGGTTTCAGTCCATACTTGGCTGGCTCCAAGGCAGAGTGGCACATGGCAGAGGGCAACAGTTCATGGCAGCAGAAAACAGCAAAAGCAATAAGAGCAAAAAAGGGTCGGGGGAAGCAAGCCTCTTTTCCTGCCTTACATTGTATGCAAAGTGCCTGCCCCAGGGTGGGTGTAGCACTCACACTCATAATCCCAGCATTGGACCATGAATCAATCAAAATCTCTAGAAGCCTGCCCCATGACTGCATGAGGCTTTAGGGGGACACCCAGACACAAACCGTAACACCTGGGAATACTGTTCCTTTTTGGTAAGGATGCTTAAGCATCCTCAGATTTTGGTGCCCGTGAAGTCCTGGAACCAGCCTTCTGTGGATACTGAAGGACACCTGTAATTGACTTTTAGCTTTTTCTAGTTGTGAGAACAGGAGCGACAGTTCCAAGCTCTTTATTTGTTGGAGCGGAACCTGTCTCCTCTGTTGTGTAAACTCTGTTTGTCTAGACCAGTGGTGGTGAACCTTTTAGAGCTTTCAGTTACACAGACAGCCCGCTGCAGAACACATGCTTTTGGTTCGCCACCATTGGTCTAGACTTAGATTTGGGTCTGTTAGTGAATTTACTGGAGTGACTCACTGTACTGTGCCATTGTGCACCTTGCTAAGTGCCCGCCTTTCGCATAACTGCTGTTAGCATCCTGCCTGCTCATCTGAAGTTGTAGTGACACCACACCGAAGTGTGCAGGAGCTTTTCCTTCACTTACAAATGAGACTGCAGCTAACGAGCGCCCATGTGACCGCAGGCTGGGTGACCCAGGCTGGTGCTCTGTGGACCCTGATGCTATGACGAACACTGGGGCATCTGTTCTGGCTTGAATCCTGGGGATCCGTGACTCTTCTGTCCACTGTACCCCAGCCTGAAGCCTCCCCAAATCACTCCCCGCAGGCTGTTGTGCTCCCTGTATTCCTCTGCCACCGTGGGTGGTGTCCTTGTGCTGCTTTCTGTCTTCTGTGGCTTACAGCGTGGCCCCGCTCATCTCACATACAGCCCCTCAAGTTACTTGTCACTGATGTCACACAGACCCTCTTTCTTTCCAGCAGAGTGAGTTGGTGGCTTGTGTTGGTCGAGTCCAGCATCATTTCTTTCTTTCAGTTAACTCAGACCTGCGCATTTGCCCTGGTTCTGCCCTTCTCCCTGGGATGCCCTGGCGCCTCTGCTGGAGGTCTGCAGACCTTCGCACTCTCCAGAGCCTGCTTTAGCCACTTTTCCTTTCTGTCTCTGAAGCTTCCTCTTAACTCTTCTACAGCACTGTTCGACTGTTTCTGTGACCTTGTCCTTAGTATTGACTGCTGCAGGCAGGGTTTGACTGTCGCACAAGGAAGGGTGACTGTCCTAGAATCCTGACACACGCACTGAGACTAGAGAGTGTCTTTTTGACCTCCTGGGATAATACCATATCATTTTCGAAACACAACCTGAAATGTGCATTGATTTGATTATGCACCGTGTTCAAGTTTCATGTCTTAAAATCATAATTTTAGTAATTACTTAGTTACATGGTAGCTTAGAGAAGGATCCTGTAATTCTCCCAAAGTTTATAAGTTACGGCATTCAATTAATTAGTTTGCTATAGGGTTTCCTTTCCTTTTCCTCATTTCTTACTACCTCACCCTGATGTTTCATAACTTTTTTACAATGGTAATTTTGATTATTTTCATTTGACTACCATTTCTTAAGTAAAAATTATGACCAATTTTCTGAGATAATTATTGTAAACATGCCATTTACCCAGTTATATTCTAACCAAATTATTGGTTAGAACATTTTTGTACCATCTCAGTTACGTGTGTCAGTGTGTAATTATGTGTGTGTGTGCACGCTCACACTGAGTGGCAGTAATTGTATTCTCAGTCTTGACAGCATTTGGGGCTCATATTCATGACCTGTGACTGACTGGCGCTGCCTGAGCCTGTGGTTCAGGCCTGAGGGTCACGGATTGCCAGCCCGGCGCCCAGGTGTACAGGGCGTGCCCGAGCCACCTCGCATCCCTGCCCACCTGCTGTGTCTGCCTCCCACTCTTGCAGAACTTGGCAGTCCCCTCCTGCAGCTCTGCAGTGTGGACTTCAGCGCTGTGCGCGATAGACTTCCAGCTCTTATGTCCCCGTAGAGCCTGCAGTTCAGGAAGCGGGCAGCCGGCTGTGGAAGTTAGACTTGATGTTGCCTGGGAAACAGTGGAGTTGTAAACCTCATTTGCCATGCTTGCGTCTCACTCTGTTTTAAAATGCGCAGTGTGTCCCTCACATGGTACACCGGCCTCAGTGCCTCTTACCTCCTGGGCTACACACTTGGCTTCCAGTGACATGCCGTTCTCAGTCTGCGTCTGCATTCTTCCTAATTAAACGAAGTGCTCTGTGAACAGAATGTTTTCTTTCACTGCTCTTTGCTGAGTCATAGCTTCCTGGCGTCTTGGTTCCTTGTTTATCTCCAGTCCAGAATCTATCTAGGGTATTGGAGGCCAAGCCCGTGAGTTTCTTAGAGCTGGGCCCTAGCTCGCCATCCTCTTCCCACCTAGGCACCTGGGGATGCACTGAGACAGGTTTAGATGTGCTGTACAGTAATGGCAGCCCCTTTTCTTCAGTCTTCAGAGATACTGTGAAGCCTGTGTTTACAGATAATTCTGGGTTATCTGGCCCCCGTAATTCTGCCGAACTCACCTAGATGGCACTCTTGCTCTGTATATGCTGCATAAAGCCAGTCAGTCCTTCCACATTTTCTAGCATTTTCTTAGGATTTTCAGAAAGCCAAGTCATCCCCCAGCTACCGTGACACTTACTAACACTTAAGACATGAGCTTCACTTGTAGTTGAACTTTTTAATTGTGAGATCACTTCAAAAGTTGTGTGGTAATGGTATAGAATAATTGTTGGTGTTCACAATGAGGGAACTGTGTGTGCACCCCACTGAAACGTGTCTGAAGTGTATTGGGAACACTAAGCTGAACACCCACTGAAACATGTGTGAAGTGTATTGCGAGTACTAAGCTGAACACCCCGCTGAAACGTGTGTGAAGTGTATTGCAAACACCAAGCTGAACACCCCGCTGAAACGTGTGTGAAGTGTATTGCGTAGGAAAGCTGAAGCACTTCCTGCTGGAAACCTCACGGAGCTGGGGAGCAGTGCCGAAAACTTCACTTTGGTACTGTGTGCAATTTTATTAGATGCCCACACTGCATTTGTGACAACCAAAAAAGGCAGTTGAACACAATACAGCCACTGTATGCCCTTTACAAACTTTAGGGTTTGCTTGTTTGAGTTTTCAGAAATACTTCAGTATATTTGACAGGTAAAACTGACTTGACACTAAAACTGAGAAAACAGTCCTATCTTTGAATGTGTAGGTTATGCTGTTTGCCCGACCAGGAGAGACCCCACGTAAACGCACCTGGGAACACACAGAGGCGCGCTGGTCCTGGCAGCTGTTACTGAAGATGGCATTGCTGCGGAGTGGCAGGAATGCTCAGCCTGCCGCAGCCCTCCGTGCTCTGGCTCTGTGGCCTGTGTCTGGCCCTGGGGGCCAGCCTGGGGCTCAGGCTGTGGCCTAGGCGCTTTCTCAGAAGGAGGGAGCCAGACAGGACAGTGTAGGAAAGGCACAGGAAGTGCCCTGCCTTTGTCACGCTTGGGTGGGAAAGTGGCCATTGAAAATAATTATTTTCTTTGTTTTGAACCCATAAAAAAAGGATAGTTTTGGTAATGCTTCTTCCTAAAAGCTTAAAAAATGTCTTCATCTTCAAGTGTAATGGTTATATCCAGATTAAATTTAAAGTGAGCAAACTATGATAAAGTATAAATATTTTAGCGCTGATCAAAATGAAGTAGTAAAGCAAGGAAAATGGTCCTGATTTATATTTATTGGTGCCAAGAATATGAATCCTCAGACCTCGAGTGGGTGGTGGTGTTGGCCATGCCATGGGCCCGGGCTCCACAGAGAGCTGTAGCTTCCGCGCACATGGCAGCAGGGCACGGGGGCATGCAGGCTCCTGGCTCTTTCCCCAGACAGGCATTAACTCTGCACATGTTTGGCGTGCGGTCCCTGTGTGCAGAGCGCTGTGACATAGCTGATCGTAGATAGCCTTTTCTTCCTGTCCCTGTGTGTGAAGCACACTTTGGCTCCTCAGTGTTTCCAGAGTGTCCTTGTTCCCAGTAGGCCGTCATCCAAGGGCACCAGGCTTGGGCTGGACTCACCCTCCATGCCACCGTGGCAGAGCATCTCACACGGGCCCCAGGGTCTTTGTGCTTCCGAGATGGATGCTTGGGAAGGAGTAGCATTTGTCTTAATGTGTGAATTTTTTATATGGCTGTGTAAAGAAATCAGACTTGGCGCTTTTTATTGTATTTACTTTGATGGTTTTGTGTGACCCATGTGTGTCTTATCTTTCAGGGTTCAGGATAAGTTGGAAGTGCTGAATTATACAACTATCCCTGTCTATCTCCCAGAAATCACAATCGGAGCTCACCAAACTGACCGGGTCTTCCGCAAGTTCAGAGAGGTGAGACCTATGTGTTGAGAGTTGCCTTGCTCTGGATCAGACTCTCCAGGAAGAGCCGGGAGTGTACTTTGATGAGTCTGCCATCAGTCAGTGTGAGATTTTTTTCTGTACACCCAACTCTCTAGCTGTCGGTCAGTAAACAAGTGTTTGCACACATGCTGCCACCTGCCCCAGACCACAGGCCAGGGGTCAGCCTGTGACCCTGTGACGTGCTATACAGCACAAAGTAATGGACTGCATTTCAGTGTTTTGACTCTTTAGTCTCTTAGCATCCACGTGAGTCCTTAGGCTTGCCTTGACTTTGAAGAACTTGACACCTTTGAAGATAACGGGACAGTGATTTTGCTGAATGTCGCTCGGTTTGGTTCTGTTGACTGTTTCTCATGGGGGGGTGGGGGGATGGGGTGTGTGTGTGTGTGTGTGTGTGTGTGTGTAGCGCTTGATGAGTCTTACCAGATACTGTATGGCTCCCATTTGTCCCAGCACTGCCTGTGTTACTTTTGATCACTTGATTAAGACAGTGTCTCTGTAGTAAAGCTCCTTCCTCACTTTTTGTAATTGCTGCACATTTTGGGGAAAGCACCTTGAGACCAGGTAAAGGTTTTCTCATCACATTTTCACTTATGAGTTTTAGCATCAATTGATTTTTCTTAACTACATCAGTTACTGCTAATGTTTGCCAAATTGTACTTCTTTTCATTCTACCATCCTTCTCTATCATTAGTTCTTTCCCTCCCTTTATGCATGTATTCATATCACTGTGGATTCCAGATTCCTGTGTATTCACGTACATCTGTATCTCTGTTCTTTCTCTCTGTGCTGAAATCTACGAGTTCACCTGACTCTTCTCAGATCCTGTGTCACACTGCAGGCTTCATGCTAGGGTCTCTTACATGCCCATCTTGGAGTGTGGGCGACCTGGCACGTCCCTCAGTGTATGTCCTTACTGGATGAAAACCGTATGTGTGGCCATCTTCCTGTTTGCTGCCACCGTTGGCCTGCCTGAGGGAGGGCACCCCGTGTCCCCCAGGGAGACGTAAGTCTCATGAACCCTGCAGAATGGCTTTGGACCAAATTCTTAGAGAATACTTGCATTGGGTGTGGAATTCTAAATTGCTTATTTTTTCTTGCAGCACTCCTAAATTTCAGTATTTTGTGCTTCTATTTTTCGTTTTTCTGATGCATAGGTTGCTGCCTTGTTTTGAAGATAATATTTCTTATTTCTCCGGCAAGGTTCATTTTCTCTTTAAAGGGGTTTTCTGACTTGGTTTTGAGCACCATCTAGTGCAGTGGTGACAAACCTTGTAGAGACCAAGTGCCCGAACTGCAACCCCAAACCCACTTAGTGATCGCAGAGTGCCAATAGTGCAATTAAACTTGAGTACTGAGGCTTTAGTTCAGAAAAAACAACTCTACGTTAACATCTTTGGTGTTAAAAACACAGTAACGTGCGTGCCAGAGGTTCACCACTGCTACTCCAGTGTGTCGGTGCACTTGAGCATGCAGTGCACACACGCAGTCCGCGCGGGCTCATCGCACCCCGCCTCTTGGGCGATCTCTGCTGTGGTGTTGCTCCCCTTTCTCCTTCTGCTCTCTGCTCAGGCTTCAGTCATTCCTGTGTGGGACCTGCTCACCAGGTTCCCTCTGTCCTCTGAGCTCGTCTCTGTTTTTTCCACAGTTGTCTTCACTGTCTGGTTCTCCTACCGCTTTTGGTTTTGGTCATTGAATCAGGATATATGGTTATTGGGTTTTTGTTCATTTGTTGCGGTGTTCTCATGTGATAGCCATTAAGAATATAAGAATATAAAGTTTAAGAATATAAAGGTAACTTGAGGCTTTAGCTAGTGTCCTTTACTCCTGATGATGCGTTGTACTGTCCTAGGCAGGTGCTGAAGTTCAAACATAACCTGAATCTATTCAGAGATCAGGCTAATGAGCTGAGCCCAAGTATTATGAGGTCTGATGATTTCCAGCTTGCCCTTCCCAAGAGACCATTTTTCATGGTGGCTTTGAACCATGGCTCTTGTCCCCACAGTACTTAGTTGCTTGAAGCTCTGCTCAGTGTCCGCTGCGGATGATGACTGGCCAAGAGGCCTTGGGAGGGGCCATTGCCCTAGGCACACTTGCATGAGCTGCTGTGTCCCCTGCTGGGCGCCTTTTGCAGGGCCCTTTCTGTGTTGCCCCTGCATTGGTTGTTCCGTGAGGAAGAGTGGGTCTGCATGGCTAGTCCTCAAGAGCTGGGCATCTTAGCCACTTAGCTTCATGGGAGGTCATCTAGACTTTTTTATTGTTACTGTGTTTCGTGTGACTTTGTCTGCTCTTTAATTTGTGAGCATTAAAGAGAACTATGGCATTGTGCTTGTGGTTTTAAGTATGAGTAGATATTGAGAAATGTTAGAATTTTAATCAGATTATTGGGGAAATATAATTTTTTAAATTTCTGAGCATTTTTGGAAAGGAACTTCAATTTTCTGGAACAGTTTTAGTGTTATGGAAAAACTGTGAGGATAGCAGAGAATTCTCATACACCCCACATTCAGGCTTCTGTGAAAGCCTTGGCTTCCCATGAAAGTCACAGCAGCAGTTGTCACCCAGCTTCCCTCTGGAAGTGGCCTTGTCAAGGTGGGGTGGGTGCGTGGAGCCCTGCTGTGGATCTGCACATAGCTGTCTGCAATTTCGTGGCTTTTTGCAGTGGCTGGCCAGCAGCAGTGCTCTTTTCCAGCTGTGCTTCTGTGAGCAGGAGCCCACCTTTCTCTTGGGCTCATGCTGGCCCTGGTGCAGTGCCACGTGGTGACTGGCCTCGCAGTGGCCTTTGGCAGACAAGCGAGTGTCCATGCCCCTGCTTGTAGGGGGCGTCTGCCTGCCACTGCCTCTCCTGAGATTACTGCCTCCCGCCCAGCCCGCCTCACAGCTGCGTCTCTCCTCCAGCCTGCTCTACAGAGGGCTGCCTGTCCCTGTGAGCAGGAGGTGGGCTTTCCTCCTCCCACCCTTGTCCCAGAGGTACCACCAGAAAGGGTGGGCTTCTTTGCAGTGGTCACTGAACAGGCCACTGGCGGTAGCCAGAGTTCCGGCCAACATTGCAGGAAAACAGTATGTGCTGCTTGAAAACACATTAAAAACTAAACTCCTGACTATAAAATCTGTTTCTCCCACTTTTGTGATTCTCTTGGAAACAACTTAAAATCCGGTGCTAATGAGGCAATGTAAAAGCAGCTGTCAGAAAAAGGTAGTTCCTAAGATTCCCTTCTGTCCTCGGATCCGGGGGCTCTGGTGGGGTCGTTCAGCCTGGAGGAGGATCGAGGGGCAGGCAGGGAGAAAAGGCCTGAGTACAGGGAGCAGGGACCTTTCAGATGCAGAGTATGCCATGCAGAGGTCGGCTGTCGGTCCCCAGAACCCTTACCTCAGAGGCCACCAGGAAAGGCCAGACTGTTAAGTTGCTTTTAGTTGGGTCAGAGTTTGGGTTCTGAGGTTTAGTGGGAATCACTGTGAAATTTGAATTGCTAAGCAAATTAAATACTGTTTTGGAGAATTACATGTTACAAGGAGAAATTGTAAATAAAGATCTAAAAAGAATAGAGCTTTTTAGAAAAGGGTTTCGGTTTTGTTTTATGTATGTTAGAAAAGATGCGTGACTAAGGAAAATCAGAATCAGCCTCTTGTCAGAGGGAAAGCTGAGTCCGAGGTGGTCTGAACAAAGCTGTTTATTCACATGCGTGTGGCCAGCCAGGGTCCTCCTGCTTGCACAGGAAGGGCGGTGAGCAGCTGTGAGGCGGGCTGGGCGGGAGGCAGTAATCTCAGGAGAGGCAGTGGCAGCGCAGCGGACGGGTTTCAGGAGAGAAGGTGTCCGTCCCAGTGTGGAGGGAGTGTGCTCTTCAGGTCAGGGGCCCTTGATCACCAACATCCTGGATGCAGTTTCTGCAACAAGTTTTTGTGTGTGTTTTGTTTTTGAGTTGGAAGTGTGAGTGTCTCAGCTAGACTCCTCCAACAACATGCGAAGTGTATGTAGTACTGATTACCGTGAGAAGGGTATAAAGTACCAGAATCGTAACGTGTGACTCCAGAGAAACTCAGAGCCCTGTGCTGGTGCAGGTACCGAGGAGACAGGGCTAGCGCTCCTCGCCTGGCATGTGTCCGCTCCACGCTGCACATCTTTTGCGCCTGTTGGTGCTTTGTGGCTCGGAGTTACAGGTGCAGTATGAGTTCCTGGGAAAGGGAAAAGTGCTCTGCCCCTTGATTGTTTTAATCCAGTCTTACAATCTTGTTTTCTCTTTTAGATCTTTCTGGCTTTTCTGTCCTTGGGGTTTGGTTTTCCGGAGGACTGGTTTGGATTTGAATTTCGTTTTCCTTATGCTGGTGCTTTCTGAGTCTTGTCGTTAGGATCCTGTTCTTTACTTTATTTTTTACCACTTCCCTTGCATTTTGTAAACATCGTTGACTTTACCTTCTGTATCTGACGGTGCCTGGTTTCTTGCTTCTTGCTCTTGCCCTTGGTGGCTTGTTTCTCCATTGTTTTGGAGACTAGGTCTCAGCTCCTGCCGTGTGGGCCCTATCCCTGGGCTGTTAGCGAGAATATGCCTGAGAGATCCTGGGAGGCCCGGTCCTGCCTACGTGGGGAACAGACACTGTCCTGATGGAAGGTGTCCCAAATATTCCATTGAACTGGACATCTTGCATCACCAACTGACCCTGGCCACCCTGCCCAGGCTCCCAGGGAACTGGAACTTAGGGCACCGTGGCTGCTCGCACCACCCAGGTCCTGGAGGCTTGTGAATTTGCGCCCCTGGTCCATGAGAGCACAGTTTGTCCTGCTCCCAACAGCTCTTAGAAAGCGCCTGCAGCCGCTGCGGCTTCAGTAGCCCATGGTTTCATTATGAGCCTGATACTCCAGCAGAGCACAAAATGCGTCTATCCAAGGTTCTAGGGTTCCTCTCTGCAGAGCCTTGTGGACCAGCTGGCTCCTGCATTTCCCCTCGTAATCTGGGGGCTGCTTTGTGCAGGTC